GCACAAGGCCTTTACTTAAGGCTGCGGGATACTCGGTGCTGACACCTGGTTGTGGCCTAAGGTGAGGCGGCACCTTGGTCTCCTCAAGCCTTGTTGCAAAAGTGCCTAAGTTTGCGACCAAAAAGACTGTCGGCTTCGGAGACTTCTGTCCCCATTCACCTTGGCGCACCATATGCAAAAAGGCCGTTTGCAGCAAGCAAAACCAGCGGATTTGCGGCAAATGCCAGCTCGAGGCGCAAGTAGCTTGCCTTGGAATCGCAGGATGTTCAACACATACCCCGTCGCCACGAAGTGCAATCGTGAGCATGACCCACAAGGTGCATTGATACAAGAGGTTGCCAATGGCAAGCTGCCTATATTCTCTTGCTTTAAGGCCTGCGAGTCCCCACAGTTGACTACGCAGTCTTAACGGCCTTGGTGCACTCGGCCTACCCGGCAGGCAGTTGTGCCTTACAGCAGACCAGGTCTCACATGGCGGACCTGCCTGTCCTCCGACAAATCGTCCCTGTCGAGCTAGGGTGATGATGTGCGTGATGGTGGACCATCGGGTGAGGTCACCGTGCACCTCATGATGCACAATGTCGAGGCAAAGCACGATGAGGTCGTAGGGAGCAGTTGTGGAAATCTGCTCGGCCCACCACCGGATGTCCTGCGGACGGCTGTGCCCGGAAAAGAGATGCAGCACGTAGTAGGTGGGCTTATTCAACCTAATGCCATGGGCTGGCCAATTGTGCATCCAGTGCTCCCCAGGCGGGGTGGCATCAAAGGCTTGATCCTGCTGTTGGGCAGCAAGTCCTACCGGAGCAAAAGTAGGCCATGGATGCTCTGCACCATCAGGCTCATTTCCGGGCACCCTCGGCAAGGGTTGGTGGTGTACATCTGAAGCAGCCTCTAAGACCTGCGGTAGGCTATCAGGCTCAATAGGCTCAGGGCAGTGCGTGTGATGGTACGGGCCTAAGCAGTCATTGTCAAAGCGCTCTTGCAGGGTTGGCAAACGAGGCCCTGCGAGGCGAGGCGCCTTGATGTGCTTAAAGCCTACAAGCCAGGCAGGCAGTGGCACTCGACTGCGTTCCTCGTCTTTCAGGGGGATGAGGTTGGCCCTAGCCCAAGCGAGGCAGCAATGCTTACGCAAGTGCGCTTGCAGCTTGGGAGTGGAGTAGTACTCCCTGAGACAAACTGGGCAGTGCGTGGCATAGCAGTACCTGGCCGCAATGGCAACGTAGTTGTGGACATTGTGCTTATGCACTCCAAGCTGCGAAGAGGACGGAAAGGCCTTGCTACATTGGTCACAGACGAAGTCGCATACTGCAGGAATGGGCAGAGCTTGGCTGGGCATGACACCAGTGATGCCTGCCGTTGCGAATTCAGAAGCAAGTCGCTTGCGCCATCCTTGCAGGTTGTGGATCATGGCATGCTGCACAATCGCAGCAGATACAGCCTTGCGGACCCATGACGTCCACCTGGCTTGATGGGAAATCACAAATGCCGCTGCTTGTGGCCAATCGAAGTCAAGCTGGAGCGCAAGGGTGCCCCACCTTGGACATGATGCTGCATCCAGCATACGTCTTCTCTCAGCATGCGGAGCCACGATCCATTGATGGCACGGTCCTCATTGCGGAGGAGCTGCGTCAGGATTTCAGGGCCGGTGAGCACAAGATGCCTATAGTGCAGCAAACGGCTCTGCCTCAGTTGCACTTCACAGGTAGGCAGCTGATGTTTGGCGAGCAACTCATCATTTGTGAGGTCAGTGAAATCCCCGCGGTGGTGGTAACCCAATGCAACATGAATGGTGCTGTGGTAGCACACAAGCAAGGCACGATGGGCAGTGCGGCTCAACTTGGGCCATGCGCCGGCTGCAAAGAAAAGACGGGTGAGGATGGTGGCCTTATAGAGTTGGCTCTTAGCAGCAGCCGACAAGCCTTTGCATCCAAAGATGCCTTTACGCATGCATCGCATGGCTTCATAGGCCTGCCCAGCCCGGTATTTTATCTCCCTTTGCATGTCGCCCGTGGCATCTATCCAACTACCGAGATGTCTATATGACGGGGCAACCCTCAGAGGCAGCGTGAGAGGTTCCTCCCTTGCCTGTGGCAATGTGAAAGACATGGTGGAGTTGGCGTGGATGTGCAGCTTTTGCCTGGCCAGCGCAGCGCCTGGACCAGCATATGCGACAATGGCCTCTGTTTTGCCGACAAGATAATTAAGGCGCATGGCAGCACGTCCGAAAACAGTGTGCACACATCTCATAGCAACCGGAAGCCGGCTATTGAGTGCTTCAGGGTTGTCGGCGGTCACACAGATGGCCATGTCATCAATCCATGTGACAACTGGCATGACAGCGGCCGGTTGGCCCTCAGGGAGATGGATTGCGGTGGTGATGCCTTCTGCCTCAAAAGCATCCTGGATTTCAGTCAGGAGGCCTGTGGCCGCAAGGTTGAAAATGAGGTCTGCGAGAGGCAAGCCAGGACGCTACCAGTCCGAACTGAGGCAGAGTCACCTGTTTCAGCATGCATGAACCATGTGTTGCGTTGCCATGAGAGGAGGTACGCCTTGAGGCACGAAGGGAGTTCGGCAAGGATCCCTGACTCGGCAGTGCTAGCCGCATGTCTCACAGCAGGTCTGTAGCATGCTGGTACCTGAACGCTCCAGAAGCTCATTAAGAGGCACTTCAGTTTGGCAAGGGCCAACCGCAAGTTCCCTTAACATCCTATAGAAGGCGGCCTCAAGGTCTACGAAGATTGTGGCTGCTGATTGCTTGCGGGCACGGGCTACGGTCAGAAAGGTTCTGACAACGTGTGTCCCGTAGATGGTCTGCTGCGCTTTCCGGCCACCGAGCTGCAACTGGTGCATGCGCAGCTTGATAACGGGGTCTACCCTACTTCGTAGCCATGCTTGAGTAATTTTAGCAAAGCAGTTAGCGAGCATGATGGATCTGTAGTTATCAATGCTGGTGCGCAGGCCCTTGCCTTTTGTAAAAGGCACAGAGCGTGGCTCCTGTGAATGGGAGCGGCTGGGCAGCGTGGACATGCGCTTTTAGCGCAAGCGGGAACAGGGCTTTAGCAGCCTCAGGCGCGGCATTTTTGAGAACATCTGCTGTTATCAAATCTTCTCCAGGGCTTTTGCCATTGCGAAGGCGATTGACGCCAGTCTCGAGGTCAAGAAGTGATGGCAGGAGTTGGTACGTGATGCCGTCTGGCACGGGCACCTCCTGCTGGTGAGCATATTCATTGAAGATCTTATCGATGCTACATATGTCACCACCTTCAAGCTTCGCAAAATGCGGCGTGGCACGCTGAAGGAGCTCTTCGGTCTGCAGACCTTTGCTCTGCATGGTTGCATGCTTGGGCATGAAACTGCGTATCTTCCGCCAGACTCCTGCAAGGCCCTGGCGGCCTTCAGCTTGGCGTACCTCCTCGGCAAAAGCTTCAAGAGTGGCACACTTTGCAGCACGAAGGCACATCCTGATTTGCTTCCTGAGGCCATGGAGCTGGAGCAGCTTACGAGCTACAGGGAAGTGCTGTCGCACCCGGTCACATCCCTGGGGCATTTGAGTGCCTCGCGTGAAGGCTCGCCAATGTTGAAGGATGTGTCGAAGGTGCTGGCATTGATGCCTGCGCTCAATGCTCCAGACTTCTTGCCGGAGTTGCTTGCGCCTACAAAGCACCGCCCAAATTTCATCAGTGATGTGCGGCTTTTTAGGCTGGGCTTGGAGCGGGTACACACGCACGGCTGCAGTGCGCACGAGGTGTTGCAGGCAGAGCGCATGCTGCGTGACATCTGATGTGTGGTGCAAATCAGGCAAGTCAGTGGTCGGCATTGAAAGCTGGGCAAGTGCACACCTCATTTTATGCGTTTGCTCTGGAGAGGGCCGTGTTGGGATAGAATATGGTACCCGCAGACGCTGCTTTCGCCAGGTTTTGCTATCAGTGGCACTCCATTGCATTGTAACACAGACTGGCTGGTGATCACGCAAGTCTCTGACGACATCAACGTCATACAAGACTCTCGAGGCAAGAGTGGCTTGATGGCACATCGCAGCCGGTATTGCAACGTAGTCAATCCTTCTTCGGTTCCCACCAAGACCTGTATGCGTATGACCATGTCCTTGGTGGTACAAGCCAGATGTGGCCGGCAAGAACATGCCTAAACAAGTCAATGTATCAACAAAGACTTGAGAGTATGCGTTATGCGGTTCTGGCTGGTGGTCATGCACTGCCTGGCAGGTCTGGTCTCCACAAGTGACATTCGCGTCAGCAAGGAGAAAGAGCATACCTACCTTAAAGGTATCAGATGCCCAGTGGCCATAGGAAAAAATATTCCGCACCACTTTTAGCTAGTTGAGTTTAAAGGAATCGAAACCCTCCCCCAAACAAAAGGAAAACAGGGCACCACTGGGCAATTTGGGGTGAAACGAGTCCACCATTTTCAAGGAGCAAATTGCAAGTTCACTTTGATATTGTTGGCGCCAAAGGCCCCATGCCTGTTACTGATGGTAGGTGAGCAGGTTGATGTACCAAACCGAAGAAAGTGGCCGGGCAACTGGACAACTTGGACCCGCAAAATATGAGGGGGTTCCTTTACCCCCCTTGAGGGCCTCAAATAGCTTGGGTTAGGACAAAGGATTTCGGGGATGAAAGGCCATCCTTTTTTAGTTGGTTGGCTGTGGGTCAAAATTAAACAGGAGGGAAAAACCGCAGATTTTGGTCTATGTTTCCACTTACCAGGGCAACCCATTTTGGAATTCCCTTTTTTTGAATTCGCCACTGCCGGTTGAGTTTCAGGAATCGAAACCCTCCCCCCAAAAAACGGGGAAAACAGGAACCAACCCACAGGGCCACCAGAGTGAAACCAGTCCCCTTGGTTGGTTGCTGGGGTGGGTTGGGTGGGTTGGGTTGGTGGGTGGGTTGGTGTTGGTTGGGTGGGTGGGTTGGTTGGTGGGTGCGAAGGGGTACATATCCAGTGACAAATCTGGCTGGTGACAAGTTTCTGAGGCCAGCCACATCAAGGAGGTGAACTTCTCACGGTCCACCTCGCTCGAACTCGAACAAAAGCCGCAGGTGTTGAACGCAGGAAATCCAAAATGGAACCCAAAGGAATTCAACAACCAAACTCACCAAAATGAAACCTCAATGAATTCAACAAATGAAACCCTAATGAATTCAACAACCAAGCAAATTCACCAAAATGGAACTCCAATGATTTCAACAACCAAGAACAATCACCAACATGAAACCCCAATGAATTCAACAACCAAGAAAATTCACCGAAATGGAACCCAAATGATTTCAACAACCAAGCAAATAGAAGGAACCCCAGATCCCAACCGTGTCTGGTTTCCCTTACCACCCCGCCAAAAAAGATGCAATCGACAAAGTTTTCCCACGGCCCCAAAAGAAGCTCTGTTTGGGAAGCAAAAGCGATCGGGGGTATACCCTCCCCATTCTCACTCCTGAGTCGATGGCCTTTGAGTGCCACTAAGCCGGGCTTCCCAAAAACGGGAAAGTCCATGAACTCAGGACGTGAATCTAGGGGTACCTTCCCCATTCTTTCCAGGGATCCTTCTTTTCGGAAACCTTCTTTTCGGAAACCATCAAAAACCCAGGCAAACGGCCGGTCTTGAAAAGAACGATTCTTCAGAACGATGGTTGAAAAGAATGGGGAATCAACCCCTAGAGTGAAAGGAACTGGGGTTCAAATCCCCAAACCACCAATCCAACCAATGCAGGGGTACCTGCAAAGAGTGCCAATTCCAAACAAACCGAAGAAACACACAGACCCTCTCCTCTGATCTGATCAACATGGAACCCCAAAAACACCGATGCAACCGGCTTCGTCTCGCAGAAATGGAACCCTTCATTGGATCGTCTGCGTGTGATGTTTGCCCCGTGTGGCGCAACCGTGTGGCTTCCTCAACCTCAGCAAAAAAATGGCTCCAGTGCCCTCCAAAAAGAAAAGACACGCGAGTAGCCCCAACTCGCTTCCTGAGCGGCTTGGCTGAAAGAATATTGTGCCCAAGCTGTTCGTTTGCCAGGCAAACAAGTTCACCCTCAAGTCCGAAACGGGTCTCAAGTGAAAGGTGTACCTGGAGTCACTCACCCGAATCTTTACTTTGGGACATGACCAACCATTTTTTTAGGGTCCTGAAAGAGAGACTCCAGTGAAAGACACCTTACCCCGCGACCCACGGTTTCTATCTCCGCTTCTGCGCGGGGCATTGCCCGGGCAATGGACATTTTGAATGGACCTCAAAATGGACGCTTTTGTTTTTTGGTATGATGTCGACCCTCTACTGAAAAAGGAGGTATTTACCTGGAAGGCCAGGTTTTTCCAAAAATACCTTTAAAAAACGTGGGCATTTGAAGTAGGGGGTAGGTCCCCCAGCTAGGTGCCCTTTCTCACCAACTTTTAGGGTATTTGGAGTAAGGGGAGTGGCAAGGCGTGAGAAAAACATGAACATGGGGCGACCAACCCAAATTCCCTGGTTTCTTTTTGGTTTTCCCCTTTAAACCCGCACACCCCAAGAAGGACACCAAAAAAAAGCACCCCCCAACAAAAGGTAAACCCACAGAAGTGTAGCACAGGCCTCGTCTGCCTCGACGAGAAGTTTTTCCAAACTCTCACGGGGTGTGTACAGGTGTTTAGGGGGCCCAGCAAACCGTGTCGCCAGCATCCCTTTGACCACAAAAGATGTTTGGCTGCTAGTTCCCCCTACTCCAGATACCCGCCTTTCTTTGTTTAATGTTTTTTGGTTTTGTTAAACAAAAAAAACTTGGGTGGCCATTGCAAATACCTTCTTTTTTTAAGTAGAGGGTCGACATCTTACCCTAGAAAAAGAAGGTATTTGGAGTAAGGGGTTGGTTTAGTGGCTGGGCTTCCGAATTTACCCCTCTAGCTAAACTTTTGGCCTCCAAATGAGGCGATGGCTTCAATGGAACTCACCAGCAAGTTGATCATATTGTGGATGGGCGAAATCCTGCAGCACTTGGACACCGTGGAAATCATTGTTTATTCCTGGAAACCCATATGGGAAAAATGATCCAAATACGGGTTCCGTCCAAAAAAAAAATGCCATACGGCTTTCCAGGTTGGTATTGACGTTGGGGCTTCGAACTCGCCCAGGGAATCCAATTCGCCCAGGGAATCGAAGTCGAAATGGATTCAGGCCTTGGAACCCGAGGATTCCTGGGGGGCAGAAAACCAGGGGTCCCTAACCAAAGGATTGGTCGCCCCCTCAAAAAAACCGATCCTATTTTTTGGTTGACCAAATAATTAATGGTTTATGTTTCTGTAAGCTGCAGAACTGGCCTCGTGTTTTTGGAGCTTCCGGGGTCTCGATCAACGCGCCGCGTTCCGCATTCTAAGCGGACCTCATAGCTCTCCGCCAGGGCGTTGGCCTGTAGCGGAAGTCCAAGGCCCCGTGATGCCCGTATTTGGCCGTATAAAACCTACCTGGGACCCCATATGGCCGTTTTTTTTTAGGTCATACGCCTTTGACCGAAAAGAATGGCCATACGGATTTTTACGGTTTTTTTTCAACAACATGTCGAAAAAATATGGGTTTCATACGGGTGATTTACGCAAATGACCGAAAAATCATGGCCATACGGGCAAATACGGCCAAATACGGGAGTTTGACCGAAAAAAAACAGCCATACGGGGTGCCAGGTATATTTTGTCGATAACATGTTGAAAACAAACCGAAGAAAAGCGCATTTGGCCGTTTTCGGGGCAAAGCCTTTTGACCAAAAAAACCGCCTGTTGGGGCTCCAGGTGGGTTTCAATAGAAGGGCTTTCCTGAAAGCATGTGTCCACTGAGAGACCCCCTTGGAATCAACAAAGCATATCCTGAAACAAATGAAAGCATCTGCAATTTGGGCTCCATGTTTTGACTACCAGACTTAAATCCAGGGCTGCTTTCCTTCCCCAAAGTGAGAACCCCTGCTCCTTTTCAATCCTGGACAAGCCACTTTGGGGACAAGGTTTTCTTCCCACTTGTTGACCTCGCAAGCTAGCTTGTGGCTAGGCCCCCAGACAAAAATGACGGCTCGGGTCGAACCAAAACATCCATTTGGGGCCCATTTGCTCAAATTCCCTGGAAAAATGAGAAAAATATGTCCAGTAGTGATACATTCCCATTTGAAACCAACAGGGGAAAATAACAAACTTTTCTAGGTCCTCCAGTAGAGAGATTCGAATAGGGGTACCAACTTTTTTCCGTAGTCTATTTTAGTAGGGGAACCCTCCCCCCAAAAAAGGGGAGAGAATGGCAAGCAAAAAGGAAGCAAAGGAGCATTCCAGGGGTTGATTCCCCATTCTTTTCAATCATCGTTCTTTTCAAAAACCTGGCGTTTTCCCCTGGAGGTATTCTGGAAAGATTCGGATCCCTGGGTTAAGAATGGACATGGAAGGTATACTTCTAGACACATGTTCTCAACCCCTAAGCCCGAGCTCTTGACCCTCTCGCCTCCGAAAGGGCTTGGATGGCCGCAGCGATGAGGAAGTTCCCGCCCAGCTTCACCTCAGTCTCCATGCCAAGTTCCTGGGACACAGATGGCCAATCTTTTTCATAGCCCAGAGCTTCCGAAGGGCCGTAACTTAGGCAACTTTTAAGTCAACGGCCGGTTTCGACACCCCGTAAACAGGCCACGTAGAAAAGCAACCCGTGTTTTTTCACGGCCTCCGTAACTCAGTCCTTTGGACTCCCTGGGTTAGGTCATACGCCTTTGACCATACGGATTCTCGCGTTTTGTTTTTCTCTCGAGAAGAAATGAAAGAAAAGAGCAACCGTACGGGGTGCCAGATTGACATACCCGCCTTTTTGCAGTTGGTATCATGCCAGCCCGCTACTTAAGAAAAAGTATCGTTTTTTTTTTTTTTTTTTTTTTTTTTTCCGCGGTAAATAGCAATTCCTTTTTTAGTAGAGGGTCGACATCATACCCTACCTGGAAACCCATATGTGACCTTTCTTTCTGTCCATACGGCTTGAGGCCACAAAAAAATGACCATACTGTCATCTACCGCCTCTTGTCAACATTTTTGTTGAACAACTACGGGCTGCATACGGCCAAATACGGCCGCATGCAAGCAAAAAATTGCCATACGGGAAAACACGATCCAAATACGGGTTCCGGCCGAAGAAAAATGGCCATTCTACGGTTCAAAAACAAGAAAAAAAATACATACGGGGTGCTAGGTTGACATATCCCCCTTTTCCAGGTGGTATCATGCCAACCGGCCTCTTAAGAAACGATCGCTTTCTCCATGGCAAAAAAAAACCATTCCTTTTGCCTAGGCTGGAATTAGGACCCCAGCAAAAAACCTATTTTTTGCCTGGTTAGTGGAAAACAAAGGGGACCCCAAAAAGCTAAAAAAGGAAGAAGGGGAGCTAATTCTGAGGAAGTTTCTAGAGGATCGACATCATACCCTAGAAAAAGAGTTGGTATTGGGTACATGGGCCAAACACGTGATGTTTAAGCAACATGTACGGACCTCTTGTGATTACTCACTTCCTGACTGGATTGGCCCAAAAAAGTCGACAAACATGTTATCTACCAAAACGGCTCTTCGCGTAAAGCATCACGTCCATCGGGCGCCGAATCGCCCCGAAAGGAGTGTTGGCTTTAAAGGGGGATCTATGGTATACTGGACATATCCCAGGGAGTCCAAAGGCCTGAGTTGCGGAGGCCGTTTAAACACGGAGGCTTTTTACGGCCTTTTTACGGGGTGTTTACGTCCTTTTTACGTGCTTTTTACGGCCTTTTTACAGGGTGTCTACGGCCGTTGACAAAAGGCCTAAGTTACTCAGGCCGAGGAAGCTCTGGGTATTTTTGTTGTTTTTCCCACGGGAAAAATAAGCAAATGGAGGATTCCTATAGTTGTCAAGAGCCCCCCCAATAGTCAAGTTGGTGCAGGGAGAGGGGTTTTGGAGGTATGGATGAACTCAGAAAGTGAGATTCGGGAACCCAAAAAGCAAAACCAAAAGGTCGATCCTTTCGATGGATCGACTCGCTTTGGTAAGTGAGCCATGTAAGTGCTTCCAGGCCTTCGATTTCGCCACGGGTAACCAAAAAAAATCGGGTTTCTGACTTCTACCACCTTACACCCAATACCCGGCCTTTTTTAGGGTATGCTTTGTCGGCCCTCTACAAAAGGGATCGGTATTTTCCTCGAAAAACCGGGATTTCCAAAACAAGCCCTGAAACAGGAAGGTGTCTTGAGTAGGGGTAGCTTTTTACCAGGCATGGTTTGTCCTGGGCAAGCCTACTTTTTGTGGTAACTGGAAGCACTGGGCCTGACATTTATGCTGGGTTTGGATAAATATTCATCACCAGATTCCTCAACTCCGCAAATAAAGGCTACTTGAACCCGGGAGCTGGGAGAACATGCTTGTTTTCCGGCTGCCCCAGACTGGCATGAGGTTTCGCCCTCACAGCAAAAAAGGTTTGGCTCGGACAACAAATGAACAGAAAACTTCTGGCTTCTTGCAAAGATAGGAGCCTGCAAAGAGATCACAGCAGGTTTCTCGAACACTGGTTCCGGGTCCCACTGACTCCTCGGCCTTCCTTGGGGGGGAAAAAAAACGAGTGGATCCCAGCCAAACCCATCTGCCCCGTGGATTTTCAGGCAAGCCCATATAGTAGCTAGGTCCTCCAGTAGAGAGGTTAGAATCAGTTGGTACCAACTTTCTCCTGCAGTCTATTTTACTAGGCGAACCCTCCCCCCAACACAAGGGTGAGAAAGGGCACTACTGGGGGGGTTAGCCATACCCCATACTCCAAATACCCACCTGGGTATATTTTGAAAAGCCTGATTTTTCATGGTAAATACCGATCCCTTTTTTAGTAGAGGGTCGACAAATCATACCAACTAAAAAATGAGTTGGTCTTGGGTGTAGGGGGTATAGTAGGTAACCCTTCCATCCAGTTTCCGAGTGGTTCTTTTCTTCGAGTTCCCGCCCTTGGTCCCCTAGCTTCATCGCTTTGCACGCATCTGGGTTAGATATTTCAGTGCTTGGATGTTCGAGTCGCCAAGTTGAGTAGTGCTCACCATTTAGGGCGTAGAACACCCCCTTATAACAAGGTGTTAACCCCACTGAACGACTTAGACGTGGGTTATAACCGAACGCTTACCGTTACAACTTACTAACTTGGCGAATCGAACACCCAAGTGCCTGCCTAACGTAGACCCCGTATCAATCAACCCCGGAACGTATTGATGGGTGTCCAACTGGGTTTGGATGAAATCAGAGTCCACTGGAGGGGCCAAAAACCGCCCTCCTATTAAGAAACTTCCATTTGCTTAAGTCCACCGGAAAAAAATGAAAAATATTTCCAGTAGTGAAATCGATTCCCTTTAAAACCAGCAGGGGCAAAATTAAAAAAAAATAGGTTCGCTTCAGCAAACGGAAGTAAACAGCTTGATTGCTCCATGCCGCTTGCCCACATCAAGCCGTGACGCCTCAAGCCCAGTGGAAGGGGAGTTCGAAGCCTTTCAAGGAGCCCCGAAAACCGAGTCCTGGAGCCCCGAAAAACCGAGTCCTTCCTTCTGGCGTTGTACCCGTTTTTTTGTTTTTGTTTTCTATTTTTTCTGGGTGAAAGGCGACCCAAAAAAGGGAATCGGTCTTTTGCCTGAAGGTAGGGATGCACTCTGCGCTTACTAGAAAAGGACCAAGAAAGGGAAAAGCCTGGTGAAATCCACGAGGCGCAACAAGAATCCAAACCAGGGCTGTGGGAAATGGAATCCACGAATCTGCGATACAACAAAAGGGTCTTTCCCAGAGACTAGCACCCCCATTCAGGGGATTCGCAAAAGTATCACAGAGGTGGCTGCCCTGAAATCCAAGCCGTTTTGGTTGGTGTCCCCCAGTTTCCGAGTTCAGAGGTTCAGAAGCGTGAGAAAACATCGGGAAGAAGTCTCCGAGACCCCTCAGAACTGGAACGAGCTGGCGTGAATTTTCGTTCGGAACCCCATCCCCATTTTGAGGGTTCCGCATATTCAATATAATTTGTTGCTTTGGCTTATCTTGAGCACTTCCAGACGGACGTCCTATCTGTTTCTTTTCTAAGATGTTATCCATCTTGTCCTTATCTTCCTCGTTTTTGCTTTTCGGCCGATTTAATTTCTCATCAATAGTCTTAGCAAGTTCAGACAATGCTTTTATATTCTGATTGCCGCGTTTGACTCAGCTGCATTGGCAAACTCCCTCGATTAGAGCAACTGAAAAATCTTCAATTGGAGCCGGACCGAAACCTGTTGACTGTTGGTTCTCCCAAAAAGGGCTCTACCTGGAGTCTCCATGACCCTGAAAAAATAGGGTCATTACCCATAATAAAGGAGTCATGACCACATTTTTTAAAGGGTCATGGAGACTCCAGGTAATAATTTTACGTTAATTGGGTATGAGTCAAAATGAAACCACCAGGAATCGGACCACAGCCGACCACAGCTTCCATGTTTCCATCTACCAGGGCGCTGGCCATTTTGGGGTTACCCTATTTTTGACAACCACAGCCATATGGCCAGGGAGTCCAAAGGCCTGAGTTACAGAGGCCGTTTAAACACGGGTTGGTTTTTTTACGGCCTGTTTACGAGGTGTCTAGGGCCGTTGACAAAAGGCCTAAGTTACTCAGGCCAAGGAAGCTTCCTCGGCCTGAGTAACTTATAGTGTCTTTTTTCTCGGAGTAGCACTTCCTCCAATGGCAACGGCTTCGCTTTTGCCCCATAGAAACCTTCGCGCCCGCTCTGGCGCGGCGTTTTTCTTTTTTTTGCCCGGTAGCAACCAAATGCGTGGAATTCCATGGGGGAAAAAAAGATCGTTGCACCCCATTTGTTTTGCAAAAACCATGAAACAAGTTGGCGGAATCCGCTGGTTCCAACAGAGGTAGGCAAGAAAGCCCCCATTGAACTTACTTGAGTCAAGTCCGTGGACTTGCCACCCGGTGGCTTTTTTGCCTTTGCGGCTTGCCAAGTGCACTGAGAGCGCGGCGCTTTGAGGGGAGGGGGTGAAAAGCAAGTCCAAATAAAACGGACTCAAAAATAGGGTAACCCCAAAAAATGGCCAGCTTTTCCCTGGCAAATGGACACATGGACTCAAACCTGCGGTCCGATTCCCGGGGTGTAATTTTGACCCATACCCAAATCTTCCCAAGTTGAAATTCCAGATTGGGCATGGGGGGGGGGGGGGGGGTGGGGGAAAGGGGGAGCCCGTGACACCCATATTTTCTCGACATGTTGTTGAAAAAGAAGCGTCAAAATCCGTATGGCCAATCTTTGCTCGGTCAAAGGCGCTAAGAAAAAACGGCTCCCAGGACCCTTGAAGTTGACACGCTGGGCACTCGGGCCACGTTGGCTGCCCCTGCATCCTCGCCAAAGTCGTGCACACCCAGCGCCGTCTTCTCGAGCAAAGGAATCTCAGCCACGATTTCGAAATCGGCGTCAACCGCGTTTGAGGTTTCTTCTTGTGCCCTGACTTCGGAATCCCCAAGTCGCGCAAGTTTTGGAGGTCTCTTCTTGGCTGGAATTAGGACCCCAGCCAAAATATATATATATATATATACCTGGCACCCCGTATGGCTGTTTTTTTTCGGTCAAACTCCCGTATTTGGCCGTATTTGCCTGTATGGCCATGATTTTTCGGTCATTTGCGTAAATCACCCGTATGAAACCCATATTTTTTCGACATGTTGTTGAAAAAAAGCCGTAAAAATCCGTATGGCCATTTTTTTCGGTCAAAGGCGTATGACCTAAAAAAAAAACGGCCATATGGGGTCCCAGGTATATATATGTTTGTTTGCCTGGATCGTGGAAAACATCGAAACGGGACCCCCCAAAAAAGCGAAGAAAAAAAAGAGCTACTTCTGGGGAGGTCTCTTTACTGCCAAGAAGTTCTGGCTTGAGAGAAAAAAGACGCCCTGTTTCTTGCAGCCCCCTGCTAAAAATGAAGGGCCGAACCAAGAAAACCGAACAAACCACTCGCCCAGAGCTTCCGAAGGGCCGTAACTTAGGCCTTTTCTCAACGGCCTTTTAAATACCCCGTAAAAAGCCCGCAAAAAGGCCGTAAACACCCCGTAAAAAGGCCGTAAAAAAACCAACCCGCCGTGTTTAAACGGCCACCGTAACTAAACGGCCTTTGGACTCCCTGGGAATCCACAGTTGGGGCATGTAAAGTGCCGACAGAGAAACCCACGAACCTGTTGGCTCCATTTCACAATTCACTCACAGGAAGCTACTGCGATTTCGGTGTGGCTCGATAAGAAAGCACCCCAAAAGCCAAAAGGGCTGTTTCCCCTTAGTGCCCCTTCAAAGTTGGCCAGATTCTTGCGTTTGCTGCCTTGTCCCGTGGAAATTAACAATTTCCAGCAGTCATAGATTCCCTTTAACACCAACATATTGTTTGTTTGAACAAAAACTGCAAAAGAGAATCAAAGTCTTTGGTGGGGGAAACCACCAAACAAAATGGAATTTGAAGGGTGGACCCCACAGAAAGACTCATTGAAGGATCGCTGACAAAGCAGTCAATTTTTGAGCCGCGCTTGGTTGTCTATGTTTGGACTCAAAAAAAACCTTACCATTGGCGCATTCACTCTGCAGTACACTAAGCATAGTATTTTCAGACTTGGGTTCCTAGTTAGTCAACCTCAACCCATCAACTTGATCCTGTGGTCTGAGCTCGCTTTACTAGAAGGGAGCTTGCAACAAAAGTGCAGACTGCAAGAAAGAAAGGGGGGTTGTTTAATACCTCAATATTCCCTTAACAATGGGATATAGCCAGATTCTGGAGAAACTTTTTCAATTTTTAAAGGCACACAAAGTCACATGCATGTCAGTCTCTTGGCTTCAGTGGCTCGTGGTGAATCCGTGAATGGCTGTTGCTCTTCCCTTTATCTTCCTTGGGCTGCGCAACGCCTCGAATCGCGCTGACAGCGTCAACTCTTAACCGTTTCTTGGCCAGAACCAACAAGTATACAGTCCACAAACTTGGGAAGTGAGACAATTGCGAAGGCAATCTGCTATTTCCTTCTCTAGATTTGAGTTGAAAGGAAAAAAGGAACCCTTGCCCAAGAGAAAATTGGAAAAAGAGGCACTGCCTGGAGTCTCCATGACCCTTGAAAAATGGTGGGGCCTTCGCCGAAATAATTGGCTGGACCCACTGGGCACCATATTTTTGGACCGAACCCGGAGGCCGAAGGCTTCTCTCGCGAGGCTCGTGCCACTTTCTCCTTGGCCCAGCTGGGGCCACTGACCTCACAGTTCCGAAGGGCACGCGGTCGCCTCATTTTTCGGATTCCCTTCACGTCTCCCCCAAAAGGTCTCCCCCCCCCCCCCCCCAAAAAAAAAAAAAAAAAAAAAAAAAAAAAAAAAAAAAAGGCAGGGGAACACATGTTGCGCATGAACTCTAATTGTGGACATCATTTAGGTGGTGCTTCATGTCCACCGCTTAATTTTGAGGTGGCTCCCCCCAAAAAACAAAATCATGGCCCAGGGAGTCCAAAGGCCTGAGTTGCGGAGGCCGTTTAAACACGGAGGTTTTTTTTACGGCCTTTTTACGGGGTGTTTACGGCCGTTGACAAAAGGCCTAAGTTACTCAGGCCGAGGAAACTCTGGGCCATCTTGCCTCTTGGTGCGTTTCGGGCCCCTGAGAAACGGAGTCTGACCCCATAAACAATCCCTCGCTGGCTGGATGGCTTTATTCGGGAATAGGTCGGTTCATTCAATTTCTCATTCCCCACTCTTCGCACCTTTAATTAGGGGAGCACGCCATCCCTGGTAAAAGCCATATGGCCATGGGTCAAAATCCCAAAATGGGATCCATTGGTGTTGACCCACAGCCATATGTCAAGCTGGCAATTTAGGTATGGGTTTTGGAACTATGGGATGTTTATTCGTCAAGAGAAGCCACGGCCCGCGGCAGTACTCCTTGTGGGTGGTATTTCTCACCTCCATACCTCCAAAACCCCTCTCCCTGGACACACCAACTTGACTATTGGGGGGGGGCCCTTGACAACCGTAGGAATCCTCTATTTGCTTAAGTCCCGAGGGAAAAGTAACAACTATGTTAAGTATACTATAGATTCCCCTTTAAAACCAACAGGAGGAAATGGAAGTATTGGTCTAATCGAAGCATCATCTGTTCCAATTCTCTTTTGCGGCGATGTCACACCCAATGGACCAGCCATAGGGCCCTTTACGGGCGTGTACATCGCCTCTAAAACCTGACCCCACCGAGGAAACCATTACTCTGGTAAAAACATCTACTCCATGGATGCCGTTCTTCCGGGAACCAGGTCTGGCGTGCGATCCCAACATAATGTTCGATTCTTTTCCGGGATGTAGCTGTCCGCAAACGGTATGGCTTGGCAAACAACCGACGGTTTCCTGTTTTGCCCCCCCCCCCGCTCCACCACTAAAAAAAAACAGAACCCCCCCCCCCGCAACAAGAAACAAAAAAAAACAAAAAACATGCCAAGAACAGTGAAGCCTCACCCTGCACCAAAGGAAACAAAACAATGCGCAACCCCCCCGCCCCCAACAAGAAACGCGAGAAAAAAAACACACACACGCCAAGAACTTTTGCAGCCCACGACAGATCAGCAGACCCCCCGCAGAAACGCGCACCAAGAACTGTGACGCCCAAAACCCCCCCCCAAAAAAAAAAACGACCATATCTCCTCAGGCTCCGAGCTGGAAAGGTCGCCTCGCCTCGGCGCATGCCATCGGGGCCTGGCAAAGTCAGCTGGGAGCTGGGAAGTCAGCGGCAACCCATGGCCCATGTGTGGAGATGTGCGCTCCTTGCTCTCCTTGCAGTCGTGTAGAACACACATATGGAGATGCGCACCAGCTATCTGGTCATAAACTTTCTATACCTGGTTGACGTTGGGTTAGGGGAGCAAAAATTCTAGAATTTTAGCAGTTAAGTGGATTTGGATTTCAACCACTCAACCACAATAAGCAAAAATGCAAAATGTGTCCCAACAACAACCATGTTTTTAACTTTTAGCAGCCCTTTTAGTCAAGGATTGAACATCGAACCCTATCATACCCTTGACTCCAAATACCCACGTTTTTTAGGGTACCATTGCAACCCTACTTAAAAAGGAGGTATTTATCTGTATTTGGAGTAGGGGATACCTCGAAGGCCCCTTCTAAGATCTAAAAAACTGACAAGCTTCTCCAGGGTATGATAGTGTTGGATCTTCATCCTAAGATGCTCTGCTAAAAAAGACTCACTTTTTGCGGGGTATGATAGGTTTCGAGGTTTTTTCCTCTTTAAGAAGGCGGCGAAATGTTTGAAACAACTGGTCGGTGCGAGAGATGCAGGGAATGAGAAACGCAGTGACCCCTATAAGCCATCAACTGGTGGTTTCCTTTAAGGGAATCCCCAGGTTCATTCCATTTCTCATTCCCTACTGGTCGCACCAGCAAAATGACAAACTTGTGGGGTGAAAGTCGTTGAAACTGCCAGTGCACCAACTAAAAACCGAAAAAGATAAGCAACCGAATGGCTGGGAACGTTATTGTATCACATTACAGTAATACTCAAAACCCATCGGTACTGAAATGGTCGGTCCAACCAGAACCATGCCTTAAGACCTACAAAGGCGGATTTCCGCACCCTGTTTATGGTTGGGACTGTGGCAACCCGGACGTTGTCTTTTTGTCTGTGTCGGTAGCACGCATCCCCCACCAAAAGGGACACGTGGCCAGTTACCACCCACAAGCTAGCGTCAACTAGCCCTAGCAGGCTTTACGAATCCCGAATTTGGTGTTTAGGGTGAGCAGCCAGAGTGAAGCATGGGAAGGCATCCATCACCTTGCAGCCAGGGTGAAGAATGGAAAGGCATTGTGCTATTCCCGCGGCCAGCTTTTCCTTCAAAAAGCGCCTCGGGGACGCGTGCCATAGAAAAGGGTTCGGCAAAAGAAGCAATTGTATCGCGAAAAATAAACGCCGTTGTATCGGGCAAAAATAGCCTCTGCCATACATCCAAAATGACAAGATTCAGAAAATCGCCTCAAGGCAAGAAACAGATGACCTTCCATGAAAAGGCAGCTTTCCACGGGAAAGAATGCTATTCTTAAGCAAATTTCACGATTCTTTAGGGGGAACGAGTAGTGATAGATTCCCTCCAAAACCAACATGGGAAATAAAGCTATTCTTAAGCAAATTTCACGATTCTTTAGGTCTTCCAGCGGTTTTAACTAGAACGCCTTGAGGTTGTTCTGCAATCGCACCTGTTTCCCAAAGCTCCCAGAGCTTAGAATCTCCAGGTGTACAAGCACCCGGGTCGCTTTTTGGACACTTGGGACTTGGGGGACCATGGGCGGTGGTGACATTTGCCGAAAAAAAACAAAAACGACACATCTTCTAAAACCAGGATTTAAACTGTGGGGTATGGGTGGCTTCATTCTTGGCTGGTACCCCATTGTGTGTTACAAAAAGGGACAACCAACAGGAACACCACCTTTGAATTTGGGGGGGGGGGGGTTCCCCCAAAAGAAGACACGTGCATAGATCCCAGGGAGTCCAAAGGCCTGAGTTACGGAGGCCGTTTAAACACGGAGGTTCGTTTACGGCCTTTTTACGGGGTGTTTGTGTCCTTTTTTACGGGCTTTTTACGGGGTGTCTACGGCCGTTGACCAAAGGCCTAAGTTACTCAGGCCGAGGAAGATCTGGGGATGGTTCTGCTTCATATTGTGAATCTTAGTGGGTCCGGGCCCACTAAGGAGCATACCTATTGGGGTGTGTCTGTTTTTGATGGAAAGCCCCTGATTTGTGGATTGAAAGGGAAACCAAAGAGAAACACCTACCACTTCTTGTTTCTTTTTTTGTGGGAGGGGGGGAGGAAAAAGACACACCCATGTTTGGTTGATGTAAGTCCACCCATCTTGCTTGGGTCCCCCAAATTAAATGCATGCCCTTTGGGGTGTCTTACAATCGGGGCATCTCGGGAATGGGTGATGTCCTTAAAGTTTCCCTTTCACATCACGGAAAGGAGCACTGCCGAGCGTCCAAAAAAAGAGACACTGAAAAACCACCTTGCAAGCAACACACTACTTCACATCGAGCCCAATCTAAGCCAAAAAAATCAAAACTTGAACCTCGAAAAACCTACACCCACCCCTATTTGTAGAGGAAGAATCTCTTAGGACATGGCTCCCCTTTTGCCTTTCGAACGCCCAGGCCGCTTCGGCCGCTTGAAACAAAGCCAGGCCGGGGCCGCGCGCAAAGACCGGAGCCGCAACGAAGCCCACGCCGCCCGCAAGGTGCTCCTCCGGAACTTCCCCCTACCCCTTACACCCAATACCCACTTTTTTGAGGGTATCATGTCGACCCTCTACTAAAAAAGGAGGTATTTACCTTGAAAAACCAGGTTTTCCCAAAAATAAACTTAAAAAAGTGGGTATTTGGAGTAGGACTCCAAATGCCATTTCTTTTTGAGGGTATGATTTGTCGACCCTCTACTAAAGAAGGAAGTATTTACCATGGAAGCCCGATCGGTTTTTTCAATAATACATTCCAGGCAACGCCCAAAAAGCTGGTAACCCTTAGATATTTTCATTGGGTGGTTCACTTGGTTCCCTACTATGCAGCTACATGTCCACTGGGACGAATTAGGTAACCCTTCGCTCTCAGTTGCTCTCAGTTTCTTGTTTGCATAGTCCCAGTACATTGTGCTCCTTGACGTGAATAATTGACACTTGCACCCCCTACACCCAATACCCGCTTTTTTAGGGCATCATGTCGACCCGCCACTAAAAAATGAGGTATTTACCCTGGAAACCCGATCGGTTTTTCAAGAAAATACCAACCAGAAAAAGGCCGGGTATCTGAAGTGGGTAAGTTGACCAAACTTGGATGGTTAACCCATGGAAGGCGAGCAGGTGATTTCATGATCTTGGGGTGCAACAGGTCGGTTGACCAACTTCGTATCAGCCACCCTATACCCCCTACTCCAAATACCAACTTTTTCCCAGAAAAAGCAATTCAAGGTAAATACCTCTTTTTTAAATAGGTTGAGAAATCATAGCCGAACAAAACAGGGCATTTGGAGTGAGTAGCGGTAGGAAGGGCTTCTCACTTTCGAAGCTCGTCGCACTTTTGGTTCTCAGTTGCCAAGGACCCAGAACTACCCCCTACTCCAAATACCCTCTTTTTTTAGGGTCTGATGCCGACCGTCTACCAAAAAAGGAGGCATTTACCATAGGTTTTTCAAGAAGTACCCTAAAAAAGGCGGGTATCTGGAGTAGGGGGTAAACGGCTAATCTTTTCTGGGTCCAGTAGAGAGGTTAGAATCAGGGTACCAACTTGTTTCTGTCTGGGGGACATAGTCTTGATGCCTTTACCTATAGAAGCAAATCAAGGATCGGCTTCGGGCGAGTGAGGGGCCTTTTACCCCAGTGCCACTGGGTTGCTCCCAGTCGATTTGGCCACAAAGACCTGCCGCGAGAGAGGGGGCATGCTCACAAAGACCTGGCAAAAAGCTTGCTGAAAAAGGCGAATCGATTGCTTGGGGTCAGTCTTCCTAGCATACTCCAAATACCCGCCCTTTTTGTAATCGGATTCTGTTGGGAAAGCCGGGTTTTGGTGTTTCAAGGTCAATGCCTCCTGCTTTAGTACCTGGAGTCTCCATGACCCTTTAAACATGGGTCCATGACCCCATTTTGGGTAGTGACCCCAATTTTAAAGGGTCAGAAGGAGATTCCAGGACCTGATACCCGACAAGAAGGCCGGGAATTTGGAGGTTACGGGGGTAGGGCAACTCGTCCAAGCCTCGCAATGCTTGGCGCGCCGTTGCGGTAAAAATGGACAGCGAACTCCTGGCCTCCGTTCGCTTCAGTTTGCTGGCAAACATACCCCGTAACCACCCAATACCCGGCCTTTTTTTAGTTGGAATCATGTAAACCCTCTACTAAAAAAGGAGGTATTTACCATGGAAAACCAGGTTTTCCAAAAAATACCTAGAAAAAGCGGGTGTTTGGAGTAGGGGGTAGTTCCAGCAGCAAATTGGATTCCCTTTCAAACCAACGGCGGAAATTCACCGCAAATGCATGCTCATCCGTCGCCCGGAGATTGCTCTATTAACTTGGCTGGAATTAGGACCCCAGCACAAAAATATTGTTTTTGCCTGGTTAGAGGAAAACAAAGGGGACCCAAAAAAAGCAAAACACATAAAGAGGGGAACCAATTCTGGAGAAGTGAATTCGTCAGCTCATTTGCATCAACAGTGTGGTCAAAAAAAGCCATGTTTCAAATGGGCAAAATGGATATCTTTTTTTTCGGAGCCCTGGTGATTGCCCCAAACTTATGGGTGTTTAAGGACACCTGGACCCTCAAACCACCCTTCTAAAAGGGGAACTCACCCCGGGCGATTGCCAATTTTTAGGGGATCTTTCAGGCTTCAGGCACGTCTTTGCTCAGCCAAATTGGGATCTCTCACTGCTCCCCACAGCACCCATGATTTTTCTCAGATGCCCGGTGGAATTCCATGGGGAAAAAAGGCATCCGAATTGTCGGTTGGAGGAGTGCAAAAAGGAATCGAAACCCAAAACCCAAAAAACGGTTGAAACAAGTTGGCGGAATCCACTAAAAAGTTGCAAAACGAGTTGAAAAGGTGAACCCTTCCCATAAAACAATCAAAATAAAAAGGAGGCCAACCCACTGGGCAAGTGGATTCGTTTCGATCCTCCGCCAAGGCCCGCGAGATGTTCGGGGACACCGTGGAGCAGGAGACGTGGATGGCGCCTTACTTTTGGCATGCGAGGAAACTTGTCTTCTCAACCCTTCCCAGTGCCTGAACCTGAAGAAACTACCCATTAGCAAAGGGAAGTCACCTACCCATGGCAGTGCGTCAAAAATGGGCATCCATTTTTGAACCCTGGTAAATGGAACCAAGGACTAAAACCTGCGGTCAGTGCTTTAATTTTGACCCGTACCCCTATGGTTCTCTAGCATTATGGGTTACGGTGAAGCCTAAACATTAACCATCTTATGCGCCTAAAGTCAATAGTAGGCTTTCCTGGAGTCTGCTTCTGACTCTTTACAAATAGGGTCATTCTCCAAAATAAGAGGGTCAGGACCCATTTAAAGGGTCATGGAGACTCCAGAAGTCACCAACCATATATTGGCAAACGCCCCCCTTTTTGGGACATTGACTCCCGATGCAGGCATGTTGCAACTGCATTTGCTGCTAGAAATTGAGCCTCCCTGCATTTTTCGTCCAATTCCTTAGCCAACTTGTAGTTTGTGCGAGGAACAAATGCACCAATGTCTTCTGGTTTCTGAGGTGCGGGTGTGGCACCGCTAAACCAGCTCACGTAGGTAGGCCTTGGATTTCTGAGCGGCCTTTTCGGCGATGAAGGGCCCCTTTTGCCAAGACATTGCCGAGAAATTCAGGGGCTGGATTTCTTAGCGGCCTATTCTGCGATGAAGGGCCCCTTTTGCCAAGACATTGCTGAGAAATTCAGGGGCTGGATTTCTTAGCGGCCTTTTCGGGCGATGGAGGACTCCTTTGCTAACAAAATTCAGGGGCTGCATTTCTTAGCGGCCTCTTCAGGCGATGGAGGACTCCTTTGCTAAGAATTCAGGGGCTGGATTTCTTAGCGGCCTTTTCGGGCGATGGAGGACTGCTTTGCTAAGAAATTCAGGGGCTGGATTTCTTAGCGGCCTTTTCAGGCGATGGAGGACTCCTTTGCTAAGAAACTCAGGGGCTGGATTTCTTAGCGGCCTTTTCGGGCGATGGAAGACTCCTTTGCTAAGAAATTCAGGGGCTGGATTTCTTAGCGGCCTTTTCGGGCGATGGAGGACTCCTTTGCTAAGAAATTCAGGGGCTGGATTTCTTAGCGGCCTTTTCGGGCGATGGATGGACTCCTTTGCTAAGAAATTCAGGGGCTGGATTTCTTAGCGGCCTTTTCGGGCGATGGAGGACTCCTTTGCTAAGAAATTCAGGGGCTGGATTTCTTAGCGGCCTTTTCGGGCGATGGAGGACTCCTTTGCGAAGAAATTCAGGGGCTGGATCTCTTAGCGGCCTTTTCGGGCGATGGAGGGCTCTTTTGCTAAGAAATTCAGGGGCTAGATTTCTTAGCGGCCTTTTCGGGCGATGGAGGACTCCTTTGCTAAGAAATTCAGGGGCTGGATTTCTTAGCGGCCTTTTCGGGCGATGGAGGACTCCTTTGCTAAGAAATTCAGGGGCTGGATTTCTTAGCGGCCCTTTCGGGCGATGGAGGACTCCTTTACTAAGAAATTCAGGGGCTGGATTTCTTAGCGGCCTTTTCGGGCGATGGAGGACTCCTTTGCTAAGAAATTCAGGAGCTGGATTTCTTAGCGGCCTTTTCGGGCGATGGAGGACTCCTTTGCTAAGAAACTCAGGAATTCATTCCCCTAAAAGAGGGCAAGGTTAAGAAATTGCTAAGAAATCTCGCCCTGGCTCCAGAAATGTCGAAAAACAAAATGGACACTAAAGAAATTCAGCCCCCTGGGCCTCGACCAGCCGATTTCTTACACAGCGCGCGCTGTAGAACTATTCTCTATTCATATGGGGGTGTTCCGTTCCAAAGTGGTTTGAAGCCCCAGTTGGACGCCCCCAAAATTTTAACAAACCGGGGTTTATATGCATCCCGGGGCCACGCTGCCTAGTCGGTAACCAGTGGGTTCCTGGGATCTTCGGTTTGGTCTTCTTTGCTGGAGAATTTGTTGACCCCGGCAAAAATGTGATCTTTTTTGCCTGGGGGTGGAAAACACAGAAAGGGGACCCCCAAAAATGCAAAAACAAGCCCAACGCTTCCGGGGCTCTCACCGGAAACCTTCCCATGGTCAGGGGCACTAATCGGCCGGAACCATTTGACTTAAGTCCCCTCAGACAACAAAACATGTCCAGGTGCTAGATTCCAACTTTAAAACCAACAGGGGGAAAAACAATACCAAAAATGGTTCCGTTTCGGATGGGATTGCCAAACAGTTTACAACCCGCACGGTTTGGTGGCACCTGACGCGGATGCTGAAGCGTGGGCATAGCCAAAAGCAGCAAGGCGATGTTCTTCACCCAAACGGAGTGTTTTTTTCCAAAAAAAACTGTTATCTTTGCAGCCCACCAAACATAAACAGAAACTTACCCCTTAAAACTCCAAGCCCTGGGGAAGTTAACCTTTTACAGACATATAGCCCACGTTACACCCAAAAAGTTGAAAAGTTGTGTTTTTAAGAGGTAAGGAAACCAACAAAATGAAGTTCTTTTGAGACCATTCCTGCGCCCGCTTTGAAGGGAAACGACTGGGGTTTCCACCACTTTTAGAGAGTCCAGGTTGAAACAAACGCCATGCTGGCGTTAGTTTCCTCGTCCCTTTTGTCGCTCCAGGGGTACCAATTTTTCAGAACACACAACACGCACCCAAATCTGGCTGCACCCTCCCGATTTGCTTTACGCAAGCTTCTCTTCCAAAAAGGGGCCAAACCCTTGAAAAATGGGTGGTGTCTAAAGAGAACGATGGCTGAAGAGATTGGCCACTTTCCCACCGCCGCCTCCTGATTCTACTTGCTTGACCAGCGCTCGGGTCTTCCTTCTCCCAGCCCGTCCAGTCTGTCCATGCTTCCCAGCTCCGAGAAATTTATCCCGCTTGCCACCAATGATCATCTTCCAGCCACTGCGCTCGCCAGATCCACCTCCTGGATCACCATCCTTCGGCGGCTCGCCTCGTTCCTCCTGGTCTCATTCTTGCACCCCTCGTCGGCGATCTCGGTGGCGACCTCCACCTGGGTCTCGGCGTTCTCTCTCCTCTAGGAGGCGGCGGTGGTGGGAGGGCTCGATTGGCGTTGCAAACACCTCTACTTGCTTCGCCGGCGTTGCAAACCTCTCTGCCTCCTTCTGATCATGCTTTTCCTTCCAGAACTCTGCCTCCCCCTGCCACTTCCTCACCTTTGCCCTCAAATCCTCCATCACGCCAAAGAGGTACTTCCGTTGCTTCTCCATTCCTCGCAGCTCTCTGCATGGCTTCATGAAGTTCTTTTCATCTCTTCCGCCAGGTCCAACTCTCCGATGAGCTCGTCGTCCTTATCCCGCCAAACCTTCTCCGGAAGCCAAGCCCTGTGTTCCTCATTCCAGAGACAGTCCAGGTTCAACGGAGTCATATTCCTCGAGGCACTCGTCGCCGTCTGCACCCTTCTGGCAGCAAGCGCACCTCTGTTCCCCGTCCGCTTAGCTGGTCCCGAAGTTCTGGATCTTCCATTTCTGCATCATGCTCTTGACCTTCATCTGCGTATGGTTCTCGCCATTCATGTAGTAGGTCTCGTTCCCGGCCTGGCCGTAGAGCTCACGGACCCTGCCTCCAAACTTCGCCTTCTGTCCCACCAGGACCACGTAGTTCAGCTTCTCTTCCGATAGGTCTCCCAGGTCTTCTCGCATTTCTTCTTGCGAACCTTGGCCTCCACCATTGGCCATTTCTACCTCCGGTTCAGCCCTTTCAAGGTCTGCGGCAAGGTCCTTCTTTGTCTCGCTCCAGAACTCTTCACCGATTGTCCGGTTAGACGCTGCCTCGAGGTGCATACCGATCTGCTGATCACGCCATTCGAGTTGACCGTCGCCATTGCCACGTTCTTCGTAAAGAGCTCCTTCATGTCCCAGCTCTCATCTGTTCCCGGCACTGGCGGCAGCGCACTCGGTCGGCTGGCCCTAAGCACCACTTCTTCTCGTGCTCTTTGGCTCCAGAATCTCTCCTTGTCCTTCTTCTCGCAGCGGGTCCTCCCGCTGAAGTTCAACCTCTCTATCCATTTCCAGCACCATGACCCCCACCCACCAAAAAAAGAAGAAAGAAACATGGGGGTTATTGCCCAATTCCCTTCCCCCCTCCCCCCAAAAACAAAAAGACAAAGGTGGCGATTCCTGCGAGCGATTCCGAGGATGACTTTCCAGGGGGCTGGAAAAAGGGTTAAAAAGGGCTGCAATTGCTGGGGCACCTAGCCCAGAGCTTCGGTGGTTTTAGCCAACAAAAACCCTGGACATCGGGTATTGATTCTAATCAATAGAAATCAGTATGCGTTTATTGATATTGATTTTGTCGGTTTCTATTGATATAATCAATATTTGTTCAGCCCGGATGTTAAGACTTTATTGATTTGACACTGCGTAGCCTCTCTTGATTTAGGCGCTGTAGTTTCTATTGATCTGGAATATGCAGTTTCATCTGCAGTTTCTATTGATTTGACACATGGCCAGTTCAATCATGTTTCTGCGCATGTTTTTTTCCTGCGGCATCTGTTTTGGATTTGTTCAGTTCCCAAACTACATCTCAATATAGTGTGTATATATATACATATGTCGATGCTAAGGCAAATATTCAAAAACTGCTTTACATATTGGTGTGTGTGTGTATGACAACACGTTGGTTTACGCGTGCTTGCCTGAATGTATGTTGAAACGTCTGTCCATGCATATCAATTACCCATTGGGCTTCTACATTGTTACTCCCCTAATAACAGTGGCAAAAAATATGTCTTTGTGGGGGCCCAGTCGAAAACTAAAAGCTTGAACTACAAGTTGGGGACCTGTTTGTTTGATGCCTAGTAAGCCGGAAACCCAAATTTTGGTGGGCCCAGTACCAAAAAACATGTGAAAACTGAAGTTGTTTCACCCATAAACACGTGTGGTCCCCATATGTTCTATCACCAAATGTTTGTCCTGCCGCTTGGTTTTCCTCAAACTTGGTTTCTTACACCCGGCCAGAGCGAGGTGTCTGAAAAATATGTGGCCTGTAAATCTCTTTGGCAACCAGCAGTTGCGAAATTCGTTGCTTCATAGTTTTTCAAGCTTCCTGTTCACTGGGGCTTTTGCATTTTGTCATGGTGATGTGTGTGTTGTCTCTTGGGCATCCCGAAATGTGGTTCATATTTTTCAGTCCTCAGATTTACTGCTCACTTGGCCTTCCAAAATTTGAATTGATAGTTGTTTTTTTTAATGCAGTTAAGGAACACTTCTGGACTACACATTGTTTGTGGCCTCAGAATATTGCACGCCACATATTTGACAAACAATGGCGGCTACAAATTTTAATGTTTGAACATGTTTCGAATCTATAGTTAAGGAACATTTTGTAGACTGCAACTTCCTGTGACCTCAAAAGTTTGCAGGCGAAATGTTTGACAAACAATCTGACTGACTACATGTTTTTGAGGAAAGGGTGTCATCCATGATAATTGTTTTGTCAGAATACTTTCACCAATAGAACAAATGTCGTCACCCATTTGTCTGACAAATATTAGGGCTGCAAATTCGTGAGGCCACAGAAAGCTGTAGTCCAGATATCTTTCCTTAATTTTGAGTTTCCAAATTATGTTTACCTACAAGTTGTAATCATGAACTTGTTTGTCAACTAGTTGGCCTGCAACATCTTGAGGCCACAGGAAATTGTTGTCCAAACAAATTCCTTGAATCAAGTTCTCAAAATATGTCGACCCATAGAATAATGAAGTCACCTTTGTTTCTGTCAAATATTTGGACTGTGAAATTTTGAGGCCACTGGACATTGTAGTCCAGAAATGTCCCTTAATCCCATGTTCAAAGTATTTTGACACATGAAACTTCGTAGTCACCAATTCCTGTTGTCAATCATTTGGCCTGCAAAATGTGGAGGCCCAAGGAAATTGTACTCCAAACATTTCCCTTGACTATAGTTGTTCAACATTTGTTGGCCCATAGTATTTTTCCGGACAAATATTTGGCCTGCAAAATTCTGAGGCCACACGACACTGTAGTCCAGAGATTCTCCTTAACTATATTCCAAATATGTTGAGCCATAAACATATTGTGGTCACCAAGTGTTCTGTCAACCATTTTGCCTGCAAACTGTTGAGGCCACAGGAAGCTGTAGTACACAAAGTCTTCCTTAACCATGTGTTCAAAATATGTTCATCAATTGAAACATGTACTCACAAGTTTGTTTGGCAAGAATTTGGCCTGCAAAATCTTGAGGCCACAAGAAACTGTAGTCCATAAATATCGTGTAACTCTATTTTCAAAATATGTCGACCCATAAAATTGTGTAGTCACCAATTTCTTGTGTCAAACATGTGGCCTGTCAAAATGTTGAAGCCACAGGAAAATATGGTCCAGAGATGTGCCTCAACTATATGTTCAACATATTTTGGCCAATAAAATGTGTGGTCACCAATTGTTCAGTCAAACATTTGGCATGCAATGTTTGAGGCCGCAGGAAATTGTAAACCAAACATTTTTCTTGATCTATATGGTCAAACTATGCTCGTCCATAACGCCCTCTTTTCAAGGGTTTGATTTCAATTGGGATGGCTCAACATGATTTGCCCTAGAATCAACATTTACATATGGGACGATATTGAGTGTTCCATTTTGGGGGGGCTCTCAATTCCACATGCTTCCAAACACAAATTGATCAAATTTGATCAAGTTCATTGTTTTTGCTGTGATGCCCGCACAAACATAAACTAACACTATTTGCCCGAAGTGTCCTGGTAATTCTAACAACCTTTTTCCTCAACCTTTTTCCTCAACCTTTGCCTCAACTTGTTCCCAACCTTTTTCCCCCACCCTTTTCCAAGCTTGTTCCCAACATGTGTTCCCAACCTTTTTCCTCAACCTTTTTCTCGACTTGTTCCCAACCTTTTTCCTCAACCTTCTTCTTCAACCTGTTTCTCAACTTGCTCCCAACCTTCTTCTTCAACCTGTGTCCTCAACCTTTTTCCCAACTAGTTCCCAACATGTTTCCTCAACCTTTTTCTTCAACCTGTTTCTCAACTTGTCCCAACCTTTTTCCTCAACCTGTTTCCTCAACCTGTTTTCTCAACCTGTTTCTCAACCTTTTTCTCAACTTGGTCCCAAGCTTTTTCATCAACCTTGTTCCTCAACCTGTTTCCTAACTTGTTCCCAACCATTTTCCCCAACCTTTTCCCAACTTGTTCCCAACCTTCTTCCTCAACCTTTTTCCCAACTTGTTCCCAACCTTCTTCCTCAACCTTTTTCCTCCACGTTTTCTCAACTTGTTCCCAACCTTTTTCCTCAACCGTTTCTTGGCTCCTTCACTTGTTTTTGATTGATTTCCTTTGCATCCTTGCAGGCGCCACCTGGTAAAAATCCGTAGTTATTTTCACAGAACACTTCATCACCTTTGTTGTTCCATTTTCTCAAAGGAACTTTGCTATCTTCATTGCATTTGCCTTGGGTTTGGTAGCATGGGTCTTTACCAGCAAAACTGATGAACCAGAAAAAACATAGGGGCTGTTGGCTTCATTTTTTTCTTGCCCAGGGTGGGTGGTGCTGGAATTCTAGAATTCAAACAACAAAAGTACCAAAGATGTCAGCAACCACGTCCCAGATGAAAAGTCAAAAGCAACCTCAGTAAGTGCAACATTCCCCAAACACCTCGACCATCCAAACAATCCATTACTACATGCACATTGTCCAAAAGCCCAAGAGTTCAAACAAACAACACATACCACAAACCAAACAACCAACATGTTAGCGACCATATCCCAGATAGACATTCCCAACAAACCCTAAGTAAGTGCAAAGTTTCAAGCAAAACCTCGGGAATTCCCCAAAACCAAAAACACACAACAAACAAAGACATGTTAGCAACCAGGAGGGGCCCTTTGGTGGGTTCCATGTTAGTGGACAGGAAGGTAATGGGAACCGCAGATGAAGTTAAACCCCTGGTTGATTTTGATTGGGAACTGTCCCCCTTTAGTGGGGATTCAGACAGTTTTTGGAGGGAACACCGCCGCTATTCATAGAACTTCACTCCCTGATTCCTGGACTTTACACTTTTGGGAAAACCATTTTAGCGGTAAAACAGTAGTGGTAAATGAACAATTTGGATTTTTCTGGCCACGTACTGTAGTGTACGGTCCTTGCTTCGGCGCGCGTGCGTGGGACTTTGCATTTTTCCACCACAACCAAATTTGGCCATGATTATGGGAGCAAACTAGAAATGTAATTGATTAGCCCTTTTTGAACAACAATTTTCGTACTTTCTCGCGTTTACGTAAACATTTGTCTTCCTTGACTTAAGACTTTTGCAGCCTTAGGGTAGCGGTGCATATCTGTCACTGCCTATTCATTTGGCATATGACTTGGCAAGTAACACAGCTATTGTTTCTATTGATTTTGTTATTGATTTTCTTTGTTTTTTTTGAGCTGTTTTTTTAATTGATTTTGAAGGGGGATTTGGTATTGATTGTAGAGCTCTCAAAATCACTTAGTTTTGATTGAAAAATCGCTGTTTCAATAGGAATCGAAAGTTATTGATTGGAATCAATAGCCGATGCCCAGGGAGCACCAACACGGCGCCCTTTTTGGCGGCTCCGGCGATTCCGAGGCTCCCGCCCGGCTTCAGCGCCGGCAGCAGCTCCGTGGCCACACGCCGCAAGACCTACAGCGCGCGCGAAAAAAATCCGCGCCGAGCGGTCGGGGCGCTCGTCGTGTTTTTTGTGGTCAGCGGAAATGTATGCGTAGTGTAGTGTAGTGTAGTGTAGTGTAGTGTAGTGTACTGTACTGTGCTTTACTGTTGTGTGTGTGCGATATGTATGTGTGGGTGCGTGTGTGTGGTGTAGTGTGTGGGTGTGGGTGTTGAGGTTACTTTTTGCTTATGTTGTTCATTTTTCTTTTCTAGCCCGGGTTTAGAGGGCAAAGCCAACAAAAAAACAACAACCTGGAGTCTCCATGGCCCTTCAATGATGGGTCGCCATATGCCCTTTCTTTTGGTGTGACCCGTTTCTTGTTTGTTCAAAGGTCATGGAGGCTCGAGGCACACATGTTTTGACAACTCAGGTGAAACTCAAAAAGTTGGTGGCCCATGAAGGTTCTCTGCTGCGGGATTCATGGGACGGCCCTTTCTGTTAGAGGACCTCTCAAAATTGTAGTTGTTCTTTTGGTTTTCTTTCGTGTTCATCGGGACAATCCCGAGTCGCCCTATGAGGGCTTGGCAAGACCCACTCTGACTACAACACAGCTTCGGACCCTGGACATGTGCGGGTGTCTCGTTTAGGAGGGTGCCCTTGGCAGGCGGTTGGTTTTCACGGGAAGCCAAGATCACTTGGGGTCTGTGGGTCACCACCAGCTAGGAAAAAAATCGCTTCGGGCAATCCCCGTACCCTCCACACGAGCTTACGACCGTGAACACGGTTGTGTGAATTCAAGCATGGTTTTCGAGTGGCTTGGGGCCTATGACTGCTCAACAAGCTTTGCATTGAGAGCCTTATTCACCTGTCTGTGTGTCAAACTCCACTTGTCTGCGAGCCGATCTCGAGAACTCAATCATCGGTTCCGTAAACAAACGCCAAGCCCCTTCCCAAAAAAAACCGACGGGGGATTAAACGAAGTTGCAAAACCACAGCCCAAAGCAACACAAAAGCATCACCCTTTCCGAGCCTCAGCGTACACTCAAAACACGAAGGCAACAACCTGGAACCCCAAAAGACCAAATCTAAATAGTCGTCCAGAAGTGGGACATGTGAGAACGGCCGTTTGCTCCAAACACGGCCGTTTCAGGAGAGTCGGATGACTGAATTAAGTTTCAATATTTTGTGCGGCACTTCAGCCGCAGCCCCTTTTCTGCGAACGCTCAAGGAATAACGCAAAAGCTTTCCTACTGCGTCCAGTTGTTTTAAAAGTCTAGGAACCCATGATCGATGGCGCATGCCAGCTTTCGAAAGCGTACCAGGGTTCGACTGATCCGACAATTGTCCAATTCAAAGCTCTTTGATGTGAAGCTCTCTTGGCCTTTTTCCTCGAACGCAATCAATTCTGCCATTTGATACGCAGCCTGCTCTTGAATAATGCTTCGAAGGCAACATATTGTTCGAAAGCTCCTTTTCGGAAACATCAAAAAAGCCTCTTTGGAACCCCTTTTCGAAAGCAACCTTTCGAACGCCGCTTTCAAACCCCCTCTTTCAAAAGCCTCCATTTGAAAGACCCCTTTGAAAGCCTATTTCGCACTTTCAACCCCCCCTTTCGAAAGCCGCCTTTCGAAACCTTCTTAGCGCCCGCCTTCGAAAGCCCCCCTTTTTAAAAGCCCTTTTTGAAAGCCTATTTCGAACCTTTTTTCAAAAGCTACGTTTCGAAAGCGACCGGGCAAAATTGAATTCGATGCCGATCAAACACAATGTGAGATCCGAAAAAACGCGGCTTTTTGAATCTGGTCGTTTGCATGGGTAAGAATGGGCGTTGCACGGGTAAGAATGGGCGTTGCACGGGTAAGAACAGTTGTTTCGAAAAATCAATTTCGACCAACAAAAACGGTGATTGGCCAATCAACCTGAGCTCGAATGCAACAGACCCAGGATGGTTCGATCGAAATACGTTCTTCGAATACGCAGCGTTCAGGTATGCATCTGTACCAGTCGAAAAGGGCAGTTCTTTATTTTATGCATGGGACCCTTTCAACATCCAGAATCTAAAAGTCGAAGCTGTCCTACTTAACTACAGCTGACTGCAATCGTTGTTGTTGTTGTTGTTTTTTGTGGTGTCCCAAAGTACGTGTTTTCTAAGCCGTGGGTTTTGGGACAACAGTCAATTTGCTCGTTTTGGGTACAAGCCCCGCGGTTCACTATTTCAGTGCAACGTTGCATGCGAGCATTGAAGAAGACACTTTGCGTGGGCCTTTTACCAAATATGATTCTTTTCGGTTCGCAGTTTTTGCATTGAAGAATCTTTGGTCCCCACACCGAAGGAACCTATGCGCGTCATCCATATTGGAACACATGGCGACAAACTAAGGTTTCCCGCTTCTTTTGTTGTGCTCTTAATTTGTCATATGGACTTACTATTCTTGCTTAGGCTGGGCTGCAAGTCATTTTACCGGCTGTGAGTACATCCCTGCCATGCAGATTCTGCTGCTTTCCTGTCAGCCACCTTGGTCCGGCCAGTTTCGGGCGAAGTGAGTCAAGAACGGCCGTGAGACAAAGCAACCATTTGTTTTTAGTCGTTTCAGGCCCCAGGAACATGAAATGTAAACCCGACTGTGCGCCGGGCGGGACATTAAGCAAAACCAGACTGGCGAGCTGCTCTTTCGAGATACTGGCGGGATCCACTGGCGAATACTGGCGAGCCACTCCGGCTCGATACTGGCCGGATACTCGGCAAGATCCACCGGCAAGGGATACTCAGCGCGATAGTTGGCGCGATCCACTGGCGAGCTACTCTGCGATACTCAGCGGGATACCAGCGGCGAGCCGCTCTCGCGGGACCCACTGGCGCGGGATACTGGGCGGGATCCACTGGCCAGCTGCTCTGGCGGGATTCTGGGCGGGATCCACTGGCGAGCCGCTCTGGCGGGATACTGGGCGGGATCCCCTGACGAGCAGCTCTGGCGGGATACTCGGCGGGATCCACTGGCGAGCAGCTCTGGCGGGATACTGGGCGGGATCCACTGACGAGCAGCTCTGGCGGGATACTCGGCGGGATCCACTGGCGAGCCGCTCTCGCGGGATACTCGGCGGGCGAGCCGCTGGCGGGATACTGGGCGGGATCCACTGGCGAGCCGCTCTGGCGGGATACTGGGCGGGATCCACTGGCGAGCAGCTCTGGCGGGATACTCGGCGGGATCCACTGGCGAGCGATACTGGGTGGGGGCGTGGTGTAGAAGCATCGCAAACGCGGATTCCAACATAAAATCTGACAACCCCTTCCTGTCGGGTGGGGAAAAATGCAAAAGATATTCGAACATGGGTCTGTCTGTCTTTGAGGATACCATTTGTGTTGTGTTGAGGTTGGGGGGTGAAGGAACACCCGCATAAAAGCCCTCCATTTTAAAGTCCAAATCCTTGCGCAAACACACACACACACAAAAACACCAATACTTTGATTTGTTTAAGCCTCCCAGAAAAAGAAAACAACGATTTCCAGTAGTGATGGTTTCCCTTTCCAACCAACAGAGGGGGGAGCTCCCACAGTCTTCCATTTGCGTTTTCGCCCCCTGGGAAAAATGAGAAAATACTTCCAGCAGCGATGGCTTCCCTTTAGAACCAGGACCAACAGGGGGAAAAACACATTCTCAAGCAAATGAATACTCGATTGCTTTCTGCTCCCCTGCTGAAGTTCAACTTTTGGTGGCTTGGAAAACCCATGAGTTGGCAACAAGTTCTCAAGTCCTAACATTTGTTGGCAACATGCACCAAAGAAAAGAGGAAGTCACCAACCCAAAAGCGGTTGCAAACGCCTCTTTTTTGTACATTTCAGGGTCCATTTTAGGTTGACCCCGGATCCAAAAAAAAGGTTTTCTGGTTGGTCGTTTCAGGGCGGTTTTTCTCGCTCGATTTTTCCCTCTGAAAAACCTGCCTGGAACCCCGAACGGCAACTTTTTCTCGGTCCACCGTATGACCATGATTTTTTGACAAAGCGTTTTAAAACAAAAACAGCCTTTTGGGGCTCCAGGTGGGTTTCCATGGTAAATACCGATCCCTTTTTTAGTAGAGGGTCGACAAATCATACAAACCCGGGTTTGATTTTAGATCGACGCCGCTTCGACTAGTCATCCGCCGCCTGGTCGTCCGGCAGGGCCGAGAAGACCACCGGGCACTTGGCCACCTGCGCCAAAGTGCGTAACCAGGCCCCCCGACAAAAAACCTTACCTAGGTCCTCCAGTTTTGGAGCTTAGAATAAGTTGGTAATTACCAACTTTTTTCGGTCTATTTTAGTTGGGGAACCCTCCTCCAAAAAATGGGGTAAAAGGGCACTACTGGGGGACTTAATTACCTAAACAACTAACAACTCAAACAAAACAAGCGAAACTTCGCCCCTGACCTGAAACACACTTGTTTTTGTTAGATTCTGCCAAAAGGTTATGAAGGTTCAGAAAAGCCGTCTACAATAATTAGGCCCCATCAAATTGGAGAAAAAACAAAAACACACACAAAAACAACTACTAGATTGGCCCATGGCCCAATTTCTCGGTGGCCAAGCGGCATTTTTAGCAGCAACACGGAAATGGGACCAAAAGTCATTCCCTGTTTATTCGGCTCTGGTCTTTCCATGCAAGACACCTGCTCTCAGTCTGTTCCCCCGCAGTGCAACAGGGCTCCCTATATTTCCCTTTGAAACATCACCCCCACCAAGGGACACTCACCTTTCATGGGCCACAAAGGTGATGTTTAACACCACCAAAAAGGGAAATATAGGGAACCCCGTGCAAGGTGACCAATCCGTTTCCCCGCAGGGAACCCCGCAGCTTTCGCGAAAAAAAATGCACCTCCCGCGGCCAAGTCCGCAAGACCGATGGGTGAACTCTACCCCAACGCTCCAAATACCCGGCCTTTTCTCAGGGCATTTTTTTTGAAAAAACTACCCCCTACTCCAAATACCCGATGCCTTTTTTTAGTTGGTATTTTTGGAGGAAAACCGGTAAACCGGTTTTTCAAGGTACAGGCAAACGACAAAGTCATGCCTAAGTCACTCCTTTATCTGTGTGGCCATGTGTTTTCCCATGTAAACGCCGGTTCCAAGAAGTCACTCCGATGTCACGCATCGGCAACAATCCCCATGGAACGCTTGACATCACCGAGCTGATCATGCTACAAAAAGACAGGTGTCAACACTGAAACACAATGGAACGCTACTGATGGCAAAGCATGTTTTCCAGCCCCGCGAGGCGTCTGCAGGAACATGAAAACCAATGGAACGCCAAGCATACGATAGGTTGTTGTAGCAAAGTTTAGGAAGACATGACACAATGGGTGGGCTTTACGGGCTCTTGCGCCGTGTTTGTCCACGTCCTGGAGTTCTTTCTCTGGAAGGCAGGCAGGCACATTCGCAATGCACCCTGGCAAAAAACGAGATCAAAACGAGATCAAAACGAGATCACCGATCGTCCGTTGAAGATTTTGGGCCCACATATGCCGAACCCGCGCCCACAAGTTCCGCACCCACTTTTCGACACAATTTCGCACCTGCGAACGCCAGCCGCTCAAGCGCGCCTGCTCAGCCCTGCGCACACACACACACCAGCCAAATGGCAAGCACCCCCGCTCAAGCGCGCTGCACAGACGCCAGCCAAATAATAAGCACCCCCTCAAGCGCATCGCTCAGCCCTGCAAACACGCCAGGATAGTCCAGGTGAGAGGAAAAGCAAGGTGCCGACTCGAACCAGCTGTAGCAAAAGAGACGTCAAGTCGCAAGATTGCGAAACACACTGTAAACGCTCCTAGGCGGATAAGATAGAACATGCCTAAACCATCCTAAACCCCACGGAATAACCATTTTCAACTGCAATGCCTCCCGAAAGCCTATCCCTTCAAACATGCAGAGTTCCTATGCGTTTTGGAAAGAGGCACGACTTCTTCGAAGCCCTCTCCCCCATGGAATTTAAGCAATGCCTCAAACGGAGGCACGACTTTGTCAAATCCCTGTACATTCCGATCCCTTTTTTAGTAGAGGGTCGACATGATGCCAATTAAAGAAAGGGGGTATTGGGTGTAAGGGGTCGGGCTGGTTGGGGGGATATTCCCCACATAAACCACCATTTGGGGAGAATTCGGTCGTGTGAGGTCGCTATTATTCACTCAGATCCAATGTAACATTGCCGTGTTTTTGTCGATCCAGAACTTGTCGGGAAGGAGCTTCGCGGCGCGCATCGTCGAGATTCAGAATTTTTGGCCAGGTGCCTTTGCAACGCTTGACTTCCATCTGGTTAAGGCCCCAGCACAGAAATAAACATATTTCCAGTAGTGATGAATTCCTGTTAAAACCAACAAGGAAACATATTCTTAAGCAAATGGAGATTAAGGTATGGTAGCACTTGTTTTCCAGCACCCTCAATATTTCCATTAGAACGGGTTATAGCCCCAATAGTTTGGGGTGAATTCCGATGTTCTTAATGGATAGTTTGGGTTCCGGGTTGCCGTTTAAAGCCCCCACCAACAATCAAGAGACCAGAATCTCAGAAAATAAAAGACATGCCAACAGTGAAGATCTCCTCCCCCCGCCCGCGGTTTCTTCCCCAGTTTCCGCACTCGGTTTAGGCCACCAATCGAAGGCGCTGGGTGACCCGGGTGAAAGCCCCTGCCCGCTCCACATTCCGAGTCACTCTAATGGACGAGATCCATTTCGACAAACCCTAAATGACAAAGCGCAGGAGTTCCAAAATTCACAAGGTCTCCATCAGCGCCTCTCTCACCCAATTGGGCGGCCATCCATTTTCTAGGATTTGTTGTGTGTTCCTAGCAGCGTTTGAGTCAGGGCCCCGGTCAACGTCTGCGGAAACCTGATATCGTGCGAAATCCGACAGGAAGCCAAATCGGGGATGGTTTTTTGGGGGGCATTCCCTTTCTCATTCTGAGCACCAGCAAGTAAACCTCCAAACCAATCTTAGGAAACGCTGCACGTCTTTGTTGGATCTCTTTGAGGGGTTTGGCTCAAGGCTTCCAGGAGGTTTTGGCTAGACTTTAGGTTACTTGAAGTGTCCAGGAGGTGCATTTGCAAAACAAAGGCAATGTTTGCTGTTGGAAATGATTGGCAAAGGCAATCAAGCCAAACAATTATACTTCATGTTTTATCAGTATTGGTTGACTTGCTTGGGCCTTTTTAGGCCTGTTTAATGCTTAATTTAGACGTGCTTAAGACTTTTCTAGATTTTAAGGGTTTCTAGATGTGTTTCTTAGAGGCTAAGCGTTGAAATGCTTTTGGTGACTGACGCTGCCCAAATCCACAGAGTTGAATCAGCCATTGGTCACTCTGGCAGGGCGATTTTTATCACCAAATTGCATCTTGAAAGATGTTTGCGTGTATTCAAATGATGCCAATGAAGGAAAGCACAGGAGTGAAAGTGCTGCAATCAAGGGGTTGTGGATGCATTTTGCGAGGTCCAGCACAGCACTAGTTGGTCTTTGTTGCACATTAAAACATCTAAGACACTCGTTTTCAAGGGGGTAAATGAGTCCTAGTGTCCTAGCAATCACCTAGCAGTCAGTCCGTGTGTTCCTTTAAAACCATAAAAAACCAAAGACGATGAGGAGACCCAAAGCTCAGACGAGTCATAATCAAAACCGATCGGCTGCCACGAAAACGGTGAACCCAAAACCACGGAAGGAGTACCCCTTACACCCAATACCCACTTTTTTAGGGTATCACGTGGACCCTCTGCTAAAAAAGGAGGAATTTACCGCGAAAAACCAGGTTTTCCACAAAAAATGCCCTAGAAAAAGGGGGTATTTGGAGTAGGGGGTAAGGCGGCGAAGGCACATCCATATTTGGTTGGTTGGGGCTGTCCCTTAACCTTCAATACCCACCCGCTCCAAATACCCTCGTGTTCTCAGTTGGTATTTTTCGCACGCGGGTTTTCCCAGGCTGACCCCTTAAAACTCCAAGCAACCTGGGGAAGTTAATCTTTTACAGACATATAGCCCATGTTACCCAAAAAGTTGAAAAGTTGTGCTTTTAAGAGGTAAAAGGGTAATTTACATCCCTTTTATGGTGGGGTGACGTATGATACCACTCAAGGGGCACAAGGGGGGTAGGAGCCATTTCTATGGTGGCTGTTCAACACCAAAATAAAATCTCGGATCCAATGAGTTGCTTCCTGGAAAGCCGTATGGCCGTTTTTTTTTGGACGGAACCCGTATTTGGATCATTTTGCCCGTATGGCCATTTTTTGCTGGCCGGTGGCCGTATTTGGCCGTATGCAACCCGTATTTTTTCAACAAATTGTTGCCAAAAAACCGTAAATAACCGTATGGTCATTTTTTTGTGGCCCAAGCCGTATGGACAGAAAAAAACGTCACATATGGGTTTCCAGGTTCTTTTGCATATTGATTTGAACCAAATGCATCTGATATATTATTAAGCCAATAATCTTTAAACATGTACCTGAACCCTCAAACTACAAGCTTAAAAATGGGCTACTGCGCCAAGATTTTCGTGGAAACACAAAGGGCATCCTTTTTGGTTTGAGTTTAAAGGGCAACCGGGGACCCTTCCCAAAGAAAGGGGAAGGGTAAGAAGTGCGGAATCCACTGGGCAACTAAGGGCCAAGGGTAGTTTCTGGGTCTAGGTACCCTTGCACGTTACCCAATTAAACTTGAGATATTCTCAATCCAATGACATACCATATATTTTCCCGTGAGACCCCCAAAATGATGGTTGCCCCAAACTTATTCAAGCTGGTGAGAAATTCCTTTCTTTAACAGGGATCCTTACATTATACATGTGAACATTGCAACTTGTAAATGGTGGTTTCCATTTATTTTGTCGAAAAAGAACCATGTTTCAAGTGGTTGCAAAATGGAGTTCTTTTAAGGGGCCCTGTTTAAGTTGGCGGTTTCAGGGTGGCTTTTCTCCCCATGAGACCGGTCCAGTCTCAGCGGCGCGCCGCCTCCTCGAGGCTCGTCACGGAACTCGCCCCCAGCTGCTCGGCAGCGTCGCGAGCGGCGGCGTTTGGGTCGTAGACCACCAGGCGCTGACCCGCCTCGAGTTGGATTTCCCAAAGCGAGCGCCACCGAACCCCAGCCCTCTGAAAATGTGAGGCCCCTTTCAAAGCGCGGCTGATTTCTCAGTTGTTCAGTGACCCTGGAAAAAAAGGGAACCCTTTTTTGGGAAGACAATTTTAGTGGGGCAGCCACCAAAAAAAAAGGGAAAAAGGGAGCCACTCAACAACTGAGATTTTGATCCGAAAGCGATTGGGACCGGCGAGGCGGACCTGGATCCAGCCTCATATTTGGGGTTTCTTCGGGGCTCCTCGGGTAAAATGACCTCATCTAGGAATCGGTGAGCCGATGTTGTGAATCCACGCCCGGAGGATAACTTAAATGAGTAACCCATTTCCAAGAGGGAAGGCCAAGACCTCGGAAAAAAATTGAGGTCCCTCCACCCAACGGATCCTTCCGAGAAAGTTGGGAGGTCAAGGGCTAAGAGTTGCAAGACTTGGTCCGCCACTCGGATCTTCAAGCTCAGATTAGAATCACCAAGCCCTGTCCCACTGTATAATCATAGATATAACCTTAAGTACAGTCCCACTTTTTTTAGGGGTATGAATGGTCGACCCTCTACTAAAAACGAGATTGGTATTTACCTTGAAGAACCGAAACCGGCTTTCCAAAAATAATACCAACTAGAAAAAGGCATCGGGTACTTGGAGGTTACGGGGGTAGTTGTAAGCTTAAGTCATGTTGAATCCTAGGAATTTCTTGGACCCAACCACCAATCCAAACCACCCTTTTCGCTGGAAGCTGCAAAATGGGACACCTGCCCAATCAAGCAAGGGTTCTACTTCGACCCGGGGGTGATTTTCAATGTTAACCTTCTACCCAAATGAGTCGCACTCAAAACCTGGTACTAAAATGGTACACCCAGAACCATGTTTATGGATTAAGAAGCCGGAATTCCGCAGCTATTTATGGCAAGGGGATCATCTACCCAGGTGTTGATTGTGGCTCAAATGGGCCGATCCTGTTCGCTTGTCCTTTTAGCTTCCCGAATCGCCCCAAGCGAGCCGATCCCGGACCTTTGGGCGCCGCTGAGCCAATTCACTGCCCGTTCTCAGATCCCCGATCGCTCAAAGCAACTGACGTTTAGCGGGTGAAAAATACGGAAACTACCAAACACGAAAAGTTGATCCAACAAGCTCAGTTGAAGCAGATGGCCTTCGGGAGCCAAGAATTGGAGGCTCTCTGCGTGAGCCTCCATGTCCCACGCCTCATTAGCTCCGTTTCGACGAAACTCCTTGCTTGAAAGACCTCGAAAGGCATCTCCAGGTGACCGCAGCCGTTCGAACCGCCGAGCCGCCGTCGGAAAAGCAAAGCGCATCGCTCGAGATCGGAATCGAGTCTCGTTTCCCGGCGAGAGAACGTCGGGTTTTGGGACGTGACTTTTGCGCCGAACTCCGTTGGGTGTCCGTTGAGGACCCCACATTCACGAAAAAGACTCAGAAGTGGGTTGTAACCAGGGGCGTCTTTTTGCCACCTTTTGTGGACAATTGCCCCTCGTAGTGAAGGATTCCTTTTTTGAGGGGGTCGCCAATTCTGTCACAAAAGCTGGCAAAAAGACCCCCCTGGTTGTAACCGGGATACCAACAAGTTACCAACTTGGCCGGACACTCAAGTACCCCCTACTCAAAATACCCATTTTCTAAAGTATGTTTGGAAAAACCTGGTTTTCCATTATAAATACCTGCTTTTTTAGTAGAGGGTCGACATGATACCCTGAAAAAAGAGGATATTTGGAGTAGGGGGTAGGGGATGCTTCCCTGAGCAACTTGTCTTGAGTCTGAAAACTCGTGGCTGACCATCCTGACAAACTCCACACGGGGTCTTGAGGCATGAGAAATCCGGGATGCGGGGTCTGGTCAGCTAATCAAACAGGGGCTTGGGAACAAGTGAGCCCAATCAAAACCGATCGGTATTAAACTGGATCTAATGTTGACCCAGATTAATAAACCCCAGTTTATTAATATGGGGGTGTCTCCGGTTTCAAGTGGGGATGTATCACTGTTGGAGGGGAACACCCCCACATCAATAAACAGGGGTTTATTTATCCGGGTCAACATGATCACTGTTGGAGGGGAACACCCCCACATCAATAAACAGGGGTTTATTTATCCGGGTCAACATTATGTATAAAGAACTTACGCGGCCGCGCCTGATTCTGGTTAAAACTGTCCCTTACGATTGGCCCAAAAAAGTCTTTGGACTTTTGGATTTGCGAAACTAAACTGCAAAAGTGACGACTAACTTCCGAAGCGGAACTCAGGGAGCGAGGATAGTTTGGGGGTGTCTTTTTGTTGATGCCAAATACGCAACCTTTCTTGTCGCTTAGGGACACCAAAAGACAACAAACCCAAAACCCAACCCATTCTTGTGCCAAATCCGAACCAGAAGCTCAGATGCCCACGGGGCAAAAAGGGTGTCTTTCTTGTTGTTGGTTGAGTTTAAAGGAAAAAGGGAACCCTTCCCAAGAAAAGGTTGAAAAAAGGCACACCGCAACCCACTGGTTGGAGAGTAAAGGAACCACCTGGAGCCTCCATGATTTGAAAAATGGGTCCATGAACCTTTAAATTTTTAGGCAACTGACCGACCATTTGGATTTCGGGTCCGATTCCGGAGACTCCAGGCGCACCCAAAATCCGCGTGCCCCGCGGCCGGCCGGCCGGCCTTCAGCAGGTTGGTGACCATTCCGTTGCCGATCTTCCCGAGCCCAACGAATCCCAGGCCACCGTTGCCCCGCACGCCTCAGACAAAGAAATGGAGGCCTAGCCACGCCGAAAAAAAAACCCTCCAATATGTTGACTTGCCCCTTAAAACTCCAAGCAACCTGGGGAAGTTCTCATGTTTTACAGACAGAAATCGCCCATGTTACCCAAAAAGCTGAGAAAAGTGGTGTTGTGAAGAGGTGAGTTGATCGACCCCCAGTTGTCCAAAAGTCGACCGGATCTGAGCCTTTTTCCCATGGTTTTGGTCCCAACCTGGAGTCTCCTTCTAACCCTTTAAAAATGGTTGGTCAGTTCCCAAAGTAAAGGGGTTATGATCCCATTTTCGAAGGGTCAGAAGGAGACTCCAGGTACGTGCAACTCTGGAGCTAGGGCTGGCAACAGGTGCGACCCGTCGTTTTTAAGGGTAGCATAGTAACATGGACTTGAGGCCTGTGGAGGTGGTAGGGTTGGCAACACGTTTTCGTTGCCTCGTCGTGTTTCTAGGGTCCCCCCAACATGGATTTATTTTTTGCCTGGGTTCCCTTGATAACCAACCAACAAAAAGGGTAGATACCCTCGTTTTTAGTAGAGGGTCGACCTGATACCCTAAAAAAGGCCGGGTATTTGGAGTCGGGGGTCTCTTCCGCTCCCACTTTAAACGTGAACGAGCAGCCGATGTCTAAAACGACCTATCGATCCAAGACATGCTGTCTTGGGAAAGGCCAAGTCAGCCGACCCTTACGAGCAAGCTCGCTCCAGCGAGCAAGATCAACCCCCTACTAAAAAAATGCCCACCTTTTCCAGGGTATGTTTGGAAAAACCTGGGTGTCCATTGTAAATACCTCCTTTTCAGTAGAGGGTCGGCATGATGCCCTAAGAAAAGAGGGTATTTGGAGTAGGGGGAACACCAAAACAGGAATCGTGCTGGTGCTCTCACCCAAAACCAACACTTTGGATTTCCTTTTTGATTCTTTTCAGCAGCATTTCAGCGCCCAGATCTGCGCCCATTTCAAGAGTACCACATTACAAGCTCAGCTGCTCTTTCACCTGGCTGCTGTCTCCGCCACGTTGCGGATCACCCCAGGTCACAACAGCCCCAGATTCAAGAATGGCAGCAAACGCAGCAGAAGTTGCTTGGATGTGCTGGATGTTCTCGAGCTGCTCTTGCACCTGGCTGCTGTCTCCGCCTACTTCTGGATGACCCCAGGTCACAACAGCCCCAGATTCAAGAATGGCAGCAAAAGCACCACTGTCAGTTGCTTGGATGTGCTGTACGTTTCGCAGTTGCTCCTGCACCTGGCTGCTGTCTCCGCCACGTTGCGGATCACCCCAGGTCACAACAGCCCCAGACTCAAGAATGGCAGCAAAGGCACTGCAAGTTGCTTGGATGTGCTGGACGTTCCTCAGCTGCTCTTGCACCTGGCTGCTGTCTCCGCCGTATTTTGAATGACCCCAGGTCACAACAGCCCCAGATTCAAGAATGGCAGCAAAAGCAGTCTCGGTTGCTTGGATGTGCCGGACATGCCTCAACTGCTCTTGCACCTGGCTGCTGTCTCCGCCACGTTGCGGAACACCCCAAGTCACAACAGCCCCAGATTCAAGAATGGCAGCAAAAGCATGGTCATTTGCATGAATGTGCTGGACGTTCCTCAGCTGCTCTTGCACCTGGCTGCTGTCTCCGCCGAATTCTGGATCACCCCAGGTCACAACAGCTCCAGATTCAAGAATGGCAGCAAAAGCCGCCCCATTAAAATAACCACTTGTTGATTTGATGTGCTGGACGTTCCTCAGCTGCTCTTGCACCTGGCTGCTGTCTCCGCCGAATTTTGCATCGCCCCAGGTCACAACAGCCCCAGATTCAAGAATGGCAGCAAACGCAGCAGAAGTTGCTTGAATGTGCTGGACGTTGTTTAGCTGCGCTTGCACCTGGCTGCTGTCTCCGCCGTATTTTGGATGACCCCAGGTCACAACAGCCCCAGATTCAAGAATGGCAGCAAAAGTACTACTGTCAGTTGCTTGAATGTGCTGGACGTTGTTTAGCTGCGCTTGCACCTGGCTGCTGTCTCCGCCGCTGCTACTTATTATTCTATCACCCCACGTCACAACGGCCCCAGATTCAAGAATGGCAGCAAAAGAATGGGTATTTGATTGGATGTGCTGGACGTTCCTCAGCTGCTCCTGAACTTTACTGCTGTCTCCGCCAGATTTTGCAGCACCCCATGTCACAACTTCGCCATTGTGGGCGGACCAAGCGAAGGCACCAGCAGTGGCAGCCAGTTTGCCAAGGTTCACAGCCGCATCCACCACATCCCCATCTCGCAAGCCAGCCTCACTCAGCGTGGAAGTCAAATCCAGATGCCGCCCTTTTGCCGTGAGCTTCAAGCGGCGCCCGAAATGCCGCTGCGCTGCAGCCTTCAGCTCGCTGATGGAGGTCGCCGGTGAAACTGATATGGAGCAACCATTTCCACTGGGCAAGTGAACATCCAGCCTCATGGCTTCATGGCGGAAGGTTCTGCATGCAAGCTGCCAAACACCAATCCGAGACACTTTTGAGTCTCATGACGTCAATGTGGATTCTTTTTCTCGGGGTGTCTCTTTGAATGGCTTTGTAAACCATGTGTGCAAAAGATCCTTCAAGTATGGCGCCGGAGAGTCCTTCTGGGTGCATTCAAGTTACGAAGCTGAGCCACGAAAACATACAACTGTGGGAGGCTTGTGTACCCCCTACTCCAAACACCCACGTTTTTTAATGGTATTTTTTTGGAAAACCGGTTTCGGTTTTCCATGGTAAATACCTCCTTCCCTTTTGTAGTGGAGGGTCGACAAATGATACCAACTTAAAAAAGGCATCGGGTATTGGGTGGGTGCTTACGGGGTGAGGACATAGCCAGTTTTGAGGGTCCCTGTTCCTTGAACCTGTGAGCGCTGAACCATTCGCTGCCTGACTGAAGTCAACTGAAGCCAGCGAACTGCCTGACTGAAGCCTGAATCTAAGGGCCAACTTGCACACCAACAAAAACTGGCGGTTCTACATGGGTTGCACAAGGTAATTACTCCAAAAACCATCCCTCTTCAAGGCCTCCCTCTAGTGGGGCATGCAAGTTGGCCGTTAGATTGTTTGGGCACACACACCTTGCAACCGGCTCCTTGGAATGGTCGTGAACAGAACCAAACAAGAACTAAACACTTGCCAACAGTAAAGCCTTGGCTTCGCTTCGTCACAAAAAAAAACAAAAAGCAAACAACTTCGCTTCGAGCAATCCCACCCTCCACACTCACGAGCTTACGACCGTGAACACCGTTGTGTGAATTCAAGCATGGTGTTCGGGTGGCTTGGGGCCTAGGACTGCTCAACAAGCTTTGCATTGAGAGCCCTATCCACATGTCTGTGTGTCAAACTCCACTTGTCTGCGAGCCGATGTCGAGAACTCAAACATCGGTTCCGTTAACAAAACAAGCCCCTTCCAAAAAGAAACCCGAACCCAAAGCAACACAAAAGCATCACCCTTTCCGAGCCTCAGGGCACACTCAAAACATGAAGGCACCAACATGAAATGTAAACCCAACTGTGCGCCGGGCGGGACTGTCAGCAAAACCAGACTGGCGAGCTGCTCTGGCGGGATACTGGCGGGATCCTGGCGAATGCTGGGGAGCCGCTCCGGCTCGATACTGGCCGGATATCCACCGGCAAGGGATACTGAGCGGGATACTCGGCAGGATCCACTGGCGAGCTACTCTGGGATATTCAGCGGGATACTCGGCGGGATCCACTGGCGGGATCCACTGGCGGGCTGCTCTGGTGGGATACTCGGCGGGATCCACTGGCGAGCTACTCTGGGATACTCAGCGGGATACTCGGCGGGATCCACTGGCGGGCTGCTCTGGTGGGATACTCGGCGGGATCCGCTGGCGAGCGGGATACTCGGCGAGCTGCTCTGGCGGGATACTGGGTGGGGGCGTGGTGTAGAAGCATCGCAAACGCGGATTCCAACATAAAATCTAACAACCCCTTCCTGTCGGGTGGGGAACAAAACAAACATGTTTTTTCCCCCCTTCCCCGACCCCCCCCTTCGCAGGTTTCAGAAGATCCCGGTTTCGCGCTGAGGGCAAAATGGATCTCGTGACTGGGCGCTTGGCCCGGACCAAAAAAACAACACATTTCTATCAAAGGGATGCCTGGAGTCTCCCTAAGGACCCTGAAAAAATGAGGTCATTACCCAAAATAAAAGGGGTTATGACCCCATTCTTAAAGGGTCAGAAGGAGACTCCAGGTATGTTGCAACCCAACATGATGGTCGGTGGTTCCCCGTAGGCTGGTTCTTTCGGGTCCGGGTACCCTCGAAGAAACATCCGCATGTCATCCTCTTGACCGCATGTGATCCTCTAGACCCATCCGCATTCTTGTTGCTGTTTGCGAGTGTTTGGCGAAGAGCACATATGAAGCACCGTAATGGGAAGCCAAACAAATAACCTGGCAACCCGTCATGATCAACAAGGAACACCAAAAACGGCTTTGGGCAGGGTGAATACTTTTTGGACCCAAGGGAGTCTCCATGACCCTTAAAAATGGTTGGCCCTTGAATTGGTGTAATGACCAACCATTTTTTCAGGGTCCTTAGGGAGACTCCAGGTGGTTCTTTGTAACAGGTTCCACGAATTAAATTTTCGGCGTGTTCAGCAAGGCAAATTGTCCACCCAAGAACCTCATGGAAAAGGGTAAGGACTTTTCTTCTGTGGTCTATTTTAGTAGGGGAACCCAAAACCCCCTACTAAGGGGCTAAGAGAAAAGGGCACCAATTCGACTGGCTGGGGGGCCTCTTGACGTGAGGAGACCCCGGCTTCAAGGGCCCAAAGCGAAGGCGAGGAGACGTTTCTGGGAGGATCATCCCTTCCTGGAAACCCAGATGTGACGTGTTTTTCTGTCCATACGGCTTGGGCCACAAAAAACACGGCCATACGGCTTTCCAGGTTGTTTAACAGCCAAAGGAGCGAATTGAAGGGGGAAAAGAAAAGAAGGCCAGGGAATCGAATCGTGTATCAGGTCACCTTGCGGTTTGCGGCTACGGTACTTCCCCAAAAGGAAAGTAAACAGGAAGTGGGGTTCACATCCAAGTCCAATCCACCAATCTAAACCACCAACTAAGGATTAGCTAAGGGGTTGAAGGGGTTCTCATGTTTTGGCTTCTCTGAGATAGAACAGCCTCTCGGTACCTGTGTGATTTTTCAGGGAGGAACCAGCAGAAAGCTGGATATGAGTGGCTCGTCTTTGGCCCTTTGGGCGGTTTTGCAAAAAGAAAACTGATGGGAAAGTCACAACTTTTGAGGAATCCGATTCCTATTTAAGACACACCCATATGGGCATGAAACTCAGATGCTCTGCGTTGCGGAATCCATTTCGCACCACCGTTCAGAAACCCTGGAATGATTCGACTCCCCAACGCAAATACCAACCTACCCCTTACACCCAATACCCGGCCTTTTTTCAGTTGGTATCATGTAAACTCTCTACTAGAAAAAGGAGGTTTTCACCATGGAAAACCAGGTTTTCCCAAAAATGCCAACTAAAAAAAGTGGGTATTTGGAGTAGGGGGTACCTTCTCCCCAACGCAAATACCAACCTACCTTGAAGTTTCAACCATGGTTTCATTTTGCGGTGCGAGGATCGACATCATACCCTAAAGAGGCTGGGTGTAAGGGGCGTGCGCAATGGGATGAGAGAAACCACCACAAAAGACTTGAAAGACTTTCGCCACAGGGAAAAGTGCCAAGTTTGGGATGCCATGCAAAATGATCACCCCCCAGTTGGATGCTTCAGTTTAGGTCATGCCAATTCAGAACCATCAAAAAAACAAAGAATGGTTTGCCGGTTTATCTCAATGGCCCTTTAAGGGGACCCGGAAAGACGAGGTGATCACCTTTTGGGGCCATGAATCAACATGGGAAACAAAAAAGGGGAACCCAACAGGACATGTCGGTCGGTCGATTCGCTTCGGTTGCTTTTGTGAGATTCCCAACCCGCGCTGACCGCTAACCCTTCTGGTTGAAAAACACATTTGGGTGCGGCTGTTTTTAAACTTAGTTGCCCAAAGGACCCAGAATTAAAAGGTTAACCTTTTGGCACCTCTACTAAAAATGGACCAAAATGGGAAGGCCAAAAGGTCAAAAGGTCGGCTTTGGACAACTGAGTAAAGGGAAGAACCCCAAAATGGACTTTTGAGCTCCCTTTGGAAAAGTACCTCCAAAAACACACACACACACACACTCACTTACTCACCTCCTGAGTGGATTGGTTAAAAAAAAAGGCTGAACTGTTCAATTTCCCGCTAAAATACCTGGACCCCCAAAAGACCGATTCCTTTTTTGTGGCTTTGTACCGTTTTTTTTCTTCTGGGTCTTTGGGGCAATAAAAAGGAATCGGTCTTTTGGGGGTCTAAAGTGGTCCAAACCCAAAACTTCAAAGTCTCGGACTCAGGAAGTCAGCTTAAGGCGAATCCTCGCGCGACACACGCGACAAAGCCGGCCTTGTGGAAGACGCACGCTGCGGAAGGCACGCATCATTGGCGAAACAAAGCCTCCCTCAAAATCCAACTTTTGGGCAGCCCCCTCCAAATACCCGATGCCTTTTTCTAGGCTATGATGCCGACCCTCTACTAAAAAAGGAGGTATTTACCATGGAAACCCAGGTTCTTGAAAATCCAACTCAAAAAATGGGCTATAGCACTCTGGTTCCAAACTCTGGGTTGTAGCACTCTGGTTCCAAGTCTGGGTTATAGCACTCCGGTTCTAGCGCTCAAAAATGGGCTTTGGAAGGTCCTCAACGTTCTGGTGGGTGAACTCCGACCTTTTTGAATGGGTAGTTTGAGTGTCCAGAGGGCTCCAGTAGTCCCCAAACGGATTTCGTTTTTCGGTACCAAGCCTCAGACAAGACATACCGAGACCCTCAAGCCACCCTGGGAAAAAAAAATGGGGGATAGTCACTCGTCAAGTTGGTCGTTTGAGGTTCCAGGTAGATATAGTTGCTCAAAATTCAAGCTAAGTAAGCCACAGGACGTGGGCTGCAGCTCCAAATTCATTTGGCCCAGGGTTACGCAGGTTGAAATGTCATTGCTTCCGTTTCCCGAGCCATTTACCATGTTGAGCAGCCAGTGGTCCTCATTTTGTTGGACCGTGGCGAGCAATCCGCGGAACCCGCCAGTAATTTGCTCTAGTCTTCTTGACTTGGGTAAACCCAGGACACTAGAGCCTTAAGCCGCGAGCGATGCAGCACGCGGATGCGAGAAGCCGCGCCAGCCTTTCTAGGTACCAAGGGAACCGCTCTTTGAAAACCGAAAGTAACAAAGCTGGTTGCTTACTATATGGAATCCACTGAGTGGAGTAGTAGTCACCAAGCCCTGTCGCACGAAATATACTTAGTGTTGAACCCACCCTAGGAGCCCATCATGATACATTTGAGGCCCTCCGATTCGGAGTTGTTCCCCAAAAGTGAGGATCCCGCTAAACTCAGGGACCCCCCTGTGCACACCTTGGGGTTGATGAATCTGGTGTCAACACTAGGTCGAACGTTCGAAGTAGGTCAATTCAACTTGCCAGAACGCCTTCCCGGACAAAGTTGCTAAGAACCCCCTGCTTGGTCACTTTTGAAGGGAAAAATCTCCCTTGGCTCGCCGATGGTCGGAACCGCCTTGATGCTTGGCTAGTCCGCAAGCAACCGTCTGGATTTTCCCAAGCCTTTCGTGAAGGTCGGTCACCTTTTGCAGGCTAATGCGAAAACAAGGTCACAGCGGCGATTTGGTCTCACATCACTGGATTTTTGCCCCTTCAATAGTAGGCTGGAATTAGGACCCCAGCAAAATAACAGCTTTTTTGCCTGGTTAGTGGAAAGCAAAGGGACCCCAAAAAAGCAAAAAAAAAAAAGGGGGAGCTAATTCTGGGGAAGAATAGTTCAACAATTTACAGGTGGTGTCCATTGAAGCAATCGCCACAGGAAACCCTTTCACACCAACCCTCGATCCAACGAAACGAGGGCTGCAGTGCGTTTTTCCTCGCACGAATCGCCGCAAGGCGATTCGACTCCGCGCATCTTTGGCTGACCGGAACTGACCCCCCTCTCCAAATACCCGGTTCTTTTTCGGGTATCACGTCAACCATCTACCTGGAGTATCCTTCTGACCCGAAATAAAAATGGGTCCATGACCAACCATTAGTTTGGGTAATGACCAACCATTTTTTAAGGGTCCTTAGGGAGACTCCAGGTACTCAAAAGGAGGTATCGACCCCGGGAAACCAGTTTTTGCCCCCAAAAGGCCGGATATTTGGAGTAGGACTCTTTGCGACGTTCTCTTGGCGTTTGCTTTCCCCAGCCGCCCAGTGGCCATGGAACAAAGGCACTGGGGCTAAGGGTGTCTTGAAGCATGTCATTATCAGTGAGACCTGCACATGCCGAATGCATCTCTTTAGATCCCTTCTGGCGAGATTCCACACAGCAGGAACGAACTGCAGTTTGTGATTGATGTTCAACCTACCCCTTACACCCAATACCCACTGTTTCCAGGGTATCATGTCGACCCTCTACTAAAAAAGGAGGTATTTACCATGGAAAACCAGGTTTTCCAAAAAATACCCTATAAAAAGTGGGTATTTGGAGTAGGGGGTAGACTTAGTTGGTGTTCCCCTACTTCAAATACCCTCTTGTTTGGGGTATGTTCTGCAAAACATAGACACATCTCCTTTTTGTGTACAGGGTCTTGGGTGTAGGGGGTATCGAAGGACAAGGGTAATACTCCACCCCCCTGCCTGGCATCGTGTGGGGTCTTGTACCCCCTACTCCAAATACCCGGCCTTTTTCTATTTGGTATCTTTTGGAAAACCGGTTTCGGTTGTTTAAGGTAAATACCGATCCCTTTTTTAGTAGAGGGTCGACATGATACCCTCAAAAAAGTGGGTATTGGGTGTAAGGGGTAGGGGGAAGTTCCGGAGGAGCACCTTGCGGGCGGCGTGGGCTTCATTGCTTCGTTGAGGGTCGACATGATACCAACTAAAAAAGGGCCGGGTTTTTGGAGTCGGGAGTGAGAATTGCCTGGCAGGAAGCGCCTTCTGAAGAAGAACGGGATCTCCCCCCGGCGAAAAAGAAGAAGGAAACAACCCCCGACTCCAAATACCCGGCCTTTTTTAGTTGGTATCATGTCGACCCTCTCAAAGGAGAAATTTACCTTGAAAAACCGAAACCGGTTTTCCGAAAAATACGTTAGAAGAAGTGGTTTGGAGTAGGGGGAAGGGCTGGGTCCCACTCAGAGTCGAAGTTGCAGCAACCAACGAACCAACGGGGTCCCTGTCCTCCAAAAAAATCAGGCCTTTCAACGAGATCCTTCCTCAGTTGTTCAGTGACCCTGGAAAAAAAGGGAACCCTTTTTTGGGAAGACCATTTTAGTGGGGCAGCCACCAAAAAAAAGGGAAAAAGGGAGCCACTCAACAACTGAGCTTCTTTTTAACTCGGGTTTCTGGAGACCTTCATTATGATTCGGATCGGGCATAGAATGGAACAAGGTACCCCGAGAAAAAAAACCTAGGTCCTCCAGTAGAGAGGTTAGAACGAGGGCGCCGACATTTTTCTGCTGCTCATTCTAGTAGAGGAACCCTCCCCCATCCCTCCCCCAGAGCAGGGTGAGGGATGGCACTACTGGGGGACCTAGAATCTCAGCGGAAGGGAGCGGAAGGCATTTCTCGGTGTCCGGCAAGGGCCGCGAATTTCCACTTCGCCGCTGCATGCTGCCGAGGTCTCGGGCGAGTCTCGGCGAGAAAAAAAGTCGGAACGGCACGCCCATATTCCAAAGACCTGCTTTACGCTTTTGTCAGGGTATCATGTCAACTCGCTACTGGAGAAATTAGTACCTCCCTGCAGGACCCATTGATACACAAATTTATGTGTGCTCGAGCTTTCGTGGCAAACACGTGCGCGAGTAATGGCAACCTGGCACCCCGTATGGCTGTTTTTTTTCGGTCAGACTCCCGTATTTGGCCGTATTTGCCCGTATGGCCATGATTTTTCGGTCATTTGCGTAAATCACCCGTATGAAACCCATATTTTTTCGACAATGTTGTTGAACAAAATCCGTATGGCCATTTTGTTCGGTCAAAAGCGTATGACCTAAAAAAAACAGCCATGTGGGGTCCCAGGAAATGCAAACACATAAAAACACACGGATTGCGGGGCAGTGCTTTGGCATTGCACGCTTTGTAGAATTGCGCCCGAGTTGCGGAAAATTGCGCACGAGTAGCGGGAAACCGCGCTCCAGTTGTGGGTTCGTTTTCTCTCGAGCACTTCACCAAAGCAGCAAGTCAACCTCAAAAAGTGCTCAAATTGGATTTGAGTAGAAAAAAAGCGCTCGAATGCCAAATCCCGTCCGGAGCACTTTCTTGCGCACCAAAGGGTCCTCCAGGTCAGCTTTTGACCCCGAATGACATGTTTGAGTCTCGTCGCTCCAGGACATTACTTTTTCAGACAAAAAACGATTTCACCCAAGAACGGCAAAGTGGTGGCTGGTGTCATGTTTTGCCTAGCCCTGGCATTTGCCTAACCTTGACACAGCCTGGCGCGCACGAAACAGCGGTATTGAAGTCTACAGTTTCGTGAGGTCGTAGCACCAGAACAAGGTCGAACACCCTTTATTGGTCCTTCCATGGTAAATACCTCGAAACAAAAGCGGGTAGGCGTATTTAAAAAAAAACACACACCAGATAGGTATCACCAACAACGCGAATGAAACTTTAGACTCAGTGTTGCCAGCTCCGGGACTCTCCAAGCATGCAACGGCGGTTTAGGCCTCATCGTCCGAATCGCGCGCACTTCCCAAGCAAAGCAACGACCGGAATCGTGGCCCAGTAAATCAACTTGTGCGCGGGGGGGGGTCTGCAGACCCAGGATGATTTGAGGAAACGCCACCTTGAGGGCAGAAACTTGAGGGCAGGACCTAGGGGGGATATGGGGATGGCCACCCCCTGGCAACCCAAAGGGAACTGGTTGACATTCTCTAAACAAAAAGAGGTGTTCTGTGTTGATGTCCACCAACGTACGAAACAGAATCTAACAAAATATCTTTCTTGGTGAACCTGGCGTCCCTTAAAAATGGGGGGGGGCCACACCTATTCGCTGCTTTTCGTTGGGATATGACCGCATGTTGAGGGTCCCGGCCATCGATCGAAGCTTTGACCGAAGCTATCAAACCGGTGGGATATCTCAGATGCCCAGTCGAACTCCAGGGGAAACAATTGGATGCGCCCGATGTTTTCTTGTTCTAGGTCCTCCAGCAGAGAGGCTAGAATAAAGGTACCAACTTTTGTCTGTCAATTTTAGTAGGGGCACCCTCCGGCCCAAAAAAGAAACGGCGAGCTCGGGCACCCTTTCGCTGGGGGATCTAGTTGCCTGAGCCCCCTGGAAAACCGTATGGCCTTTTTCTCTTTTTGACGGAACCCGTATTTGGATCGTTTTCCCCGTAGGGGACCTAGTGTTGGTAGTGGAAACAGGAATCGGAACGCTCACCCCAACAGTTGAACCAAGGGCTCAGGGCAAAGACATCGGTGTCCTTCGATTCCAAACGC